AATGAATATTTGCACAATATATACGATAAGATAATGGAAGTTGTGACACCTGAAAAAGGAGGTTTCTTTTTTATGTATGGTTACAGTGGAACTGAAAAAATATTTTTTATATAGAAATCAGTGTTTATTTCTCTAATGTCAAATGATAAGATTGTCTTGAATGTCGCATCCAATTGTATTGCAACATTACTTTTCATGGGGGAAGGACATGGATGAATGACATTACACATGAGATTCTCAATCTCTTTGGGCGATTGCATAACGTGTGCCATCAAACAAGAGAGTCTGAAAGCAGAACTAATCCAACAAGTAAGTCTAATAATATGGGATGGAGCATGCATGGTGAATAGATTTATTTTTAAGGTGCTGGATCACAAAATCATAGATGTAATGAATTTCTCTAATAAAAACTCTAGAAATGAACCATTTGGAGGGGAAATAGTTGAATTCGGAGGGGAAACAGTAGGACTCGAAGGGAAAATAGTTGTACTCAGAGGTGATTTTTGGCAAACTCTTCCTGTTTTACCCAAAACTTCAAGAGAGAAAATTGTGAGTGCTATCATCTATTCTTTAAAATTATGGTCGTATTTTAAAATTTATATGTTAGCGAAGAATATGATATTACATTCTTCTACGTCCTCTATCCCAGATAGGGACACACAAATTTTTTCTGATCGGATAATTAAAGTTAGAGATGAAAAACTTAGACAAGTGATTGATGAAACAACTGACCTTACAATTCCGCATAAATTATCAATTCTAGACACAAGTTATTTTGTGAAGAGTATAGTGGACTTCACTTATCCTAATTGAACCTATTGGAGAGTATGAAAATTTATTCATTTTTTAGGATATGGCACTACTGGACCATGCTTGAGGTTGTTGAGATGGTAAATGAATTTGTCATATCCCTCATTCCCTAATATGAAATGGTGTGCCTGAGTTTTGATTCTTCATGTCAGGCCGATTCAGATGTAATTATTGATGACAATTAAATAATAATTAAATTTTAAATGAAATCAAATGTTCGAGGATCCACAACTACAAAATAATCTTAAAAATGGCTTAACGATTTTGATATTGAGAAACATTGACCAAATATATGGATTATGTAATGGTACACGATTAATCCTTGAAGAGCTGTGAAAGAATGTTGTTGGTCGATTGTGGTTTTGAGAAATCGAGTCAGCAAAAAGTTTACATACTCCTAATGAAATTGATACCATCTGATCTAGGACCACTCTTGAAGTTATTTATAAGGCAAATATCAATAGTCTTATATTTTGCAATGACTATCAACAAATGTCAAAGTCAAACATTGTCATTTCTTGCATTACTTTTAACCAAGTTGGTATTCACTCATGGTCAGCTTTATGTTATGGTTGCATGAGTGAAGACAAAAACAAAATTAAAAATATTAGTTCTAGATGACAATGATACCCTTGCAACTATATCAAAAAAATTATATACCCTACTGTCTTTCAAAAAGTTTGGTATTAAAAAAATCTTGGTTGAATACACATTCAATTCCTCAAATATTGTTTATTCTACTTTGGAATTTTTGTATATAGTATTAAAAATCATAAGGAAATATATTTTCTTTATTCTGGGAAAAAATATTGCATTAAAAAAGTTTTAAAACTAATAAAAGTTTTGTTCGACCCCGTGCGTTGCAGGGTAAAAATACTAGTTTCTTTTTAAAATAGAGTATGATGATTACGCTTTTTACGCCTTACGCATGGTTTGATATATTTATTCGACTAAAAAAGAAAATAAAAAATAAAAAATCATCAAAAGGAGACGCCCCTGTTTCTTGCCCAAATGCATGCTTACATTACACATTTACACGACTTAAAACTTAAAAGTAAAAAAACGCGGAGAATAAGTAATAACAAAAAGTGTAGAAAAGAAAATCACAAAGAGAGGAGTAATTCAATAGTCATTCTATTCAAATTTATTACTACTCCGTATTTTTTAAATTAGAAATCACTCTAAATAAGACTAAAACATAGAGAAATGTATTAAAATAGAACCTTCATATTTTTTTTCTCGAAATAGAACTTTGCATTGTGGTAATGTGACACTGTGCATGTGCACATTACTATACTTTTTCGGTAATGTACATGACCATGTTTGGTAATGTAAATTTGATTTCGGGAATAAAAACATGAAAATCATATTTTGGTATATTTTCAATGTTTTAGTACTACTTTAGTCTTTCTCTCTTTTTTACTTCATACCTGGTGCCATTTTATTAATTTTTATATACTTTTGTTGATGAATAAGGTTTTCACTAATGAGTAATCACTAAGCATAAGAGTCTTAATTTACACTTCAAAACTTCTTTACGGTCTCCCCACTAGGCGACTTTGGAAAACCAATGGCAATTTTCTCATTCAGCTAGAAGGTGGAATCGTACATCCCGCACCCTCCACGTTAAGAGGTTGTTCCCACATACCCTGACTCTTGTTAGATATTTTAGTTTCATGGATTATTTTATGTTATAAAATGACTTAGAATAGACGAGAATTGTAATACACTTTACGTTATTAACATGGGTGGCCCGGAGGGTGTTCAAAGCAGTGACGGAGCCAGGGTCAAGAGCTCGAGGGGGCACTACACTAGTACAAAATTCAAGGACAACGCTCTTAGTTTTTCTAAAGATAACGTGAAATAACAAATAATTATATTTTATTCGAAATAAGTATTCAAATAATTAAAATAAAAGAGTTTTAAAAAGAATTTCTTTATTGAAATTTTGAATTTCAAAATAATTGTCACTTTAATTGAACATAAAACAAAATAATTTGATTAAAAAAAATCTTAACATACACCAACTTAAGGAGAAAATTGAAATTACTAATTTATCTTCTCCAAATTAAGTTATACTATGTGGGAAAAAAATACGGTAAAAAATAATAGCGAAGAGATTTAGAGACTTACCAAATTTAAAAAGTTTAACTTTTACAATTTTTTTATTTTTTTGTACATAAATTGAGTATAAATTTAGTATAATTTTTAAAATTAAAGTATAACATTTTAAAACAAAGAACAAATTAACTAGCCATTAGCTCCTACAAGAGAAATTCGTCGTTTTTGTACTCCGTATTTTTTTTGTTATTCTTTGGGCAATTGGCAATTGCCGCAATTGGGCTATGGGCTGGGTCAAAGCCAAAGGAGTTATTTTAAAACCAACTTGAAACGACGCCGTTTTTTTTCTTTCTTCGGCAACGGCAAGTCGACAACTGTTCTTCTTCTTCGATGTTCTCCCATCGGCTGCCGGACAGTGACAAATTTGGGGGAGCAAATCTGGCCTCCCATCGCCGATTCACCGCGGCACTATGTCGGTAGTACTATGCCGGAAAATCGCCGGGGGGGCAAGTGCCTCACCGTGCCCCCCTCTCCTCCGCCCCTGGTTTAAAGTGACCAACCGCACATGGTTTTTAAAATTTTAGTACCTCATATTTTTAAATTCATCATTAATTTTGAAGTATAAGTATTCTAAAATAATAAAATAGGGCCCAAAATGCAAATTTTGTACCGGGCCAATTTGTTTTTTCATTTTTCGAGGCCGGTCCTTGTTAACGAGTATGAAAGTAGAGTACACACTCGTTAAATGTCTTGGGGTGCCAAGCCCTAGTTGTGGGGTCCAAAGGGAAGAGCCCCTGACCAATTCCCAATGTTCTGAAAATCGGATCGGCCGTTGACCCGAACGAGGGTGTGGGTCAAGGGCTAACCGATCGAAACGTTCAATTCAGGAGTCAACGAGCCGGTCAAATATTACTAATATACTAAATTTTATATTATATTATTAAATAGTTTTAATTAATAAAAGTATTTTAGTTTGTATTTTTTGAATTCTCCATCTAAATTTTAGTATAATTGTGAATATAAAATTTAATAGTTTCTGTTTATAATAAAAGTTCAGAGTGAATGTCTAATAAATATTTAAATAGTACAAACAATACTCATATTTTCAAAAATAAATAAAGACTAGATAATGTGTTCTTCTATATTAGTGACATTATAAAGTTTATATTTAGTTGATTAAAAATGAAAATGTCAAAGTATAATTAATATTTTAAAGATAAAAATATTGTTTTAAGTATTGATTAGTTATATTTTCAAAAGATAAAAAATAAAGAATACTAATTGTTTTTAACTTTGAACTAGTTCAAAAGTTAGAAATAACCTTAAATAGGACTAAAACATAGAGAAAAGTATCAAAATAGGACTTTCATGTTTTTATTCCCGAAATAAGACTTCGCACTGTGGTAATGTTACACTATACATGTGCACATTATTATACTTTTTGGTAATGTACATGATCATGTTTGGTAATGTAAATGCATTTTAGGTCCTATTTCAGGATTAAAAACATAGAAGTCCTATTTTGGTATATTTTCAATGTTTTAGTCCTACTTTGGTATTTCTCCCTTTAAAAGTTGATAAAATAAATATATTATATCAACATAGTTCTTTTTTTAATGATTTGAAGTCTTTTAAATGATATATAAAATTGATTATGTAGTTTTTTCTCTACATAATTTTAAGTGATATACTCTCTCCGTCTCTAAAAGATGTTCCTGTTTCATTTTTTGCGCATCTCATTAAACACATCTATCCAACCTTAAATGCCAAAAAATTATCAAAACAACTTCTACCTATTATAAAGGAGAAATATGGTAAATTTTAGGCAGTTTAGATGTGGGTAGAAATGTTTTATAGGATGTGATGGGCCGATACCCAATGGGCAGCCCAAACACCATACTCGGAAGATGCTGGGTTACCAGAGCCAAGGTGCATTTACTCTGGGCCGGCCCAAGATATTGGGCCCGGGCCAATCCAACAAAAAAGACAACAAGAAGAGTCAATCCGTAGGAGGAGATTCAGCGGAAGGCGGGGACGAAGCTGAAGAAAGTGGATTGCACCATTAACGGATTAGTCTCCTCTGATTGTGAACTACCTTAATTACTCAAGAAACCATGTATAAATTGAAAGGACCCGAATGGGGATCCTCAAACTGAATCAAGCTAATAAAACCTATAATTCTCGAGTTCTTGTTCTTTAATTTTCTTTCGATCCACTTTTCTGAATCGGATCATTTGGTGGATTTATTGTCCATCAAATTGGTGCTCTCATTGAGAGCTCAAGAGATATACTCAAGAAAAATCCTTCCAGAAAACAATGGTGCAAACCCGTAGTAATGCAAATCAAGTCACCGAAAATCCCCCTCAGGGCGAAACTAGCGCCACCGGTGGACGTCACCCTCACATTAACGTGACAGAGGCAGAGGCCCTCATCCAGCGAGTCGAGATTACTGCTGAACAGCTCAGGGAGGTTTTGGCGGTCCTAGCCCCGAACCACGAGGTTGTGGTAGAGGATGCGACCGGGGGGCCAGCTGGAGGGAAGGCTGGGCCAGCAGGCTCTGAGCGACGAAAAAAGAAGAAGGTTAGACGATCCTAGAGGAAGAAGGCGACCAAGCCTAACGGGAAGGCTAGGGTGGAGGATGATCTGTCCAGATTGGACGAGGAGGATGAATCATCCTCCTTCGAGCGGGCATCTGCCTTCGATCGGCTGGGGGATCCCAAGGAGAAGAAGCCCCAAACCTCCGCGTTTGATCGGCTACAGGATACTCGGTCGGCTCGGAAGGGCGACCTGAGGGAGAAACTCAAGGAAAGGAGGGAGGAGTCCTCAGCGACATCCAAAGCCGGCTCGGAAGAGCGACGTAAGGCGATGGAGGACAAGGAGGCGATCGAGTTATGGAGGATGTACGACCATCTGGAGAAGCGATTGGACGCCCAAAATCCCTACCGTCAGGCGGTTTTCAGTGAGGTAACCCCTTCTCCAAGAGGGTGATGTGTTGCCCTCTCCTTGCTAACTTTAAGACCCCCTAGATCAAGGCATACAACGGGACGACCGATCCCCAAGACCATCTTGCTCGCTTCGGGGCGAATGTGGTTATGTACGTCTACCCCGAAGAGATCAAATTCCAAAGTTTTCTGGCAACGCTGGAGGGGAATTCTATAACTGGTTATAGATAATTTGAAACCCTTCTCTTATCCTTCATAGACTCGTCCATAATAAGTTTTTAAAGTGTCTTCATTCATATGAGACTTACTTTCATTACTTGTTATTTAAGGAAGGAATCGTTTTGAAACAGTTTCCAAGTGCTCTTTCCTTTCAGAGTCTACAATGATCATTTTAGTGCTTAAGGTTCAGTAGTATTTGGCAAGGTTACATAATCCTCTTTATTAGACTAACTATTTTAGTCACATTATCTAGATAACGTTTTGAGGGAACGTCAATTTCATGATCGTATCACTTTTGTGTTTCCTATTATGTAACTTTGGCATTAATATCACTTGATCTTTATTAAGTGTGCTTTATTAATGCTAATGGCAAGTTTAAACTTCAAAAATTTAAATAGACAGGGTACTTGGCTATAACCTTTATAAAGATATCCTTATATCTCTAAGTGGTTATCACTTTATTCATAATTTTGTGACAAACTTATTAACTGATTAATATTTGCACTTTGTAGCCTTGGTATAGTTGTTGTATTGCGATATGCTTGTGAGGCAAGATATTTGATCATATGATATACTTCTATAAATGGAGCAACAATTTGTCCTTTATTGAAATAACCAATAATACTTAAAACAATAAGTTAACTTCAATTCGAAATTGAAAACTGATCAAATACTAAAACTTAAACAAATGTGCCACAAAACTGCAACCTTTGCATCTTCAAGATCAACATTCCTACTACTTCTCTTCAGTTCCTACAACGGTTTGCAATACTATAAGTATCGAATACTTTTTGAAGAGATTGTAGATTAGTTTAAGTCTTTACAACAATTGTACCTGAAGCAGAAGCTTCACCCTTTTTCTTGGTTGCCAAATACTGATTGCAATTCCTCTTCCAGTGGCCAACCTCACCACAGTGATGACAAATGGAATCTTTGGCCACTCCACCTTTAGGCTTGAGCTTAGAAGAGTTTGACTTTGGTTCGGTGTTATCCTTGCCTTTAGGTCCATTCTTCTTTGCTTTCTTGAACTTCTTCTTCCCTTTTCCTCCTTGAACCAGAAGGACAGAATTCCCCTTTCCTTTCGTCAAGCTCTATTCAGCAGTTTGCAGCATCTTCAAAAGTTCTGGAAGTGGTTTATCGAGTTCATGCATCTCGTAATTAACCACAAACTGCTTGTACAATTCTGGCAACGATTGCAGAATCAGATCAGTTGCAAGTTCAGTCCTTAGTTCGAAACCCAATTTCTCAAGAGTTTGGACGTAGCCAATCATCTTGAGAACATGCGGACCAACGGGGTTTCCAACTGACAACTTGCAACTAAAGAGAGCTTTGGAGATTTGAAATCTCTCGTGTCTAGCTTGTCCTTGGTAGAGCTGTCTTAGGTGTATGATCATATCGTACGCCTTCATACTCTCATGATGTTTCTGAAGGTCAGAAGTCATCGTAGCCAACATGAGACATGCCACTTGATTGTCATCATCAACATGCTTCTCATAAGTATCCTTGATTGCTCTAGAAGCATTGGCGGCTGGGACAGGTGGGATGGCTCGTTCAAGCACATATTCTTTCTTCTCGAGTCGAAGAACGATAACGAAGTTTCTTTGCCAGTCTAAGAAGTTAGAGCCGGTCAACTTATCTTTGTCGAGGATCGAGCGAAGAGTGAGATTATGGTTGTTATTAGACATCTACATATAATTTTCAAGATAGTTAATATCAAGAATCTAAGTAATTAGCTAGGTCTTTAACTAATAACTATCCCACTATTTTAACAAATCAACTACCCTCAAGTACGTAACCTGTTGATTCGAGACTTCTCCTAAAGAGATATCTTAGTGGGCCAAGGTCCATATTACATTTAACTATAGTTGTGCTTTGCATCTTGCCCTATAGTTAAACTAATTTGGTAGGAACTTATTTCCAATTGTGATCCAATCACAATCCTTGGTTTGTTAGGTTGTTCTAAATAAAATCCTATATTGGGCCTAGATCCTTATTTCATCTAACTATAGTTGTGCTTTGCATCTTGCCCTATAGTTAAACTATTTCAGGTAGGAACTATTTCCAATTGTAACATTTTACAACTCTAGGTTAGATGAATTTGATTTTATTTATTAACCTAACCATGTGCCTCTAAGTTATTCATCTTTTTACCTTAACCTAGTTAAGTTCAACCCGAGGCGTACTCAGTATCCATTGTTACGGATTTCGCGTCATACCAATGTAAACCAGGCGTCCCGCTTTGGCGTGTCCATTGACTGGTCGAAACTGGTATCGACGAGTGAGTCGCGTCGGAAGGCACAAACTTAATATTACGAGGGATTTTAAACGTGATTTCACCTATGGCATGTGCCGCGCACATACACTAGCGAATATCATACAAACATATATACAAACATGTATAATGAATAAAACGTGACATGGTTGTGGACGATAAAGCCTTCACTTGAGATCTCTATCTCCAGCTTCACCTTCTTTCTTTAAGAATGCTTCAGTCTTCAAGTTCAGCCTTGTCTTGTTAGTGTTCTCTTCTTCTTGGCTCCTTCATCTTCCTTGCTTCTTCATGGACTTCTTTGTTTAATCGAGAGAAAAGAATCCTTGCTTTTTAAGCAAGGGGTATGAGGTTTAAGAAGAGATTTACAACCAGAATTTAGAGATAAGGCACGACACGCAGGCCGTATTTAAAAACCAAACATTCTAAGCCACAATCATGCACCATGCATACAATTATACATCATGTGCATAAAAACCATACACCGGGCAAGCCGCGCTCGCCCCAGACCTAGTTTATTCTAAGAAAAATAAACTACAAGCCTAAAAATTATCAAATAATTTTATTTAACTTTATTTTAAAACTGCAGAATATCCAAAATTTAATTTTGAATTTTCCTGAATTTTAAAATAGTTAATTGCCGTAAATATAGGTATTAATTTCGAAATTGGGATTTTAATTCGAAATAAATACTTATACCTTTTGAAAATTAATAAATAAATGCCAGAATGTGCATTCTGATTTTATAAGTCTGAAAATAAAATTTCTAGAATTTATAAAATATATTTTCGAAATTCTTTATTCAAATACCCAAAATCGGACTTCAATTTTCCAAAAATTCATTCCGAGTTTCCAAAAATTAATATTTTCCAAAACTATTTACTTTGGGTCCGTATTGTTCTGAAAATCAAATTTCCAGAATTAAATAAATTTTATTTTCGGTATTTTGGAATTTATTTCCAAAAGGAGTTAAATTAATTTCCAAAATTAATTTAGAATATTCCAAATATTCCAAAAATAAATATTTTCCAAAAATAAAGTTTTTGACTCATGTACAATCTGAAAACAACCTTTTCCAGATTTTATTTAAATTTATTTTCGGTACTTTCTATTTATTATTTGGCAATCCATAAAACAATTTCCAAAATTATTTTTCGTGTACCATAATTGTTCCAAAAAATCATTATTCTCATAATATTATGATATTAGTACCAAATATTAAATTTGCATAATTTAAAATTAATTATTTAATTTTCGGGAATTAAATACCGAATTACCAAAACTGTTTTTCCCAAAAATTAATAATTAAATACTTAAATTACGAATTTAATTCTAAACACTTTTATGAACTCTGAAAATCATATTCTAAAGTTCATAAAATTATAATCCCGAATTTTAATTGTCCTTTTCGGTTTAATCTATTTTATTACCGAATAAGATTATTTAAATCGGGAAAAATAGAAAATCAAAACCTAAAATTTATTTTAATTTTCCAGAGTACTTAAAATCATATTTTAAAATTCAAAAAGTATTAAAATTATTTTTCATAAGTTATTTTGTATTTATCTTGTAATTAATCAAATTAACTACAAATCAACTAATACCTTATAAATTAGAAACTAAATTCCGAAAATTCATTTTAAATTTCCAGAGCTCTTAAAAACTTATTTTAAAGTCTCAGAATGATTAAAATTATTTTTCCATAATTTATTTTGTATTTATCTTGTAATTAATCAAATTAACTACAAATCAAACAATACTTTATAAATGAGGAAATCAATTCCGAAAATTATTTTTAAATATCCAGAGGTCTTTAAATCATATTTTAAAGTCTCAGATTTAATAAAATTTAATTTTCGAATTTTCGAAATATTTTAATTGGTTAAAACAGTTTTTAACCCATTAACCCGAAAAATAAAATAAATCCAAAAGTTAATTCAAAAATCATATTTTCGAATTTTATAAAGTCCAGAATAATATTTTGGCACTTTCTTGAATTTTGGACAATTTTAGAAAATATATACACATATATTTTATTTTATCAATTATCAAAAACCCTAACGGCAATTAGATCTACAAAACTTATAATTCTCATAAGTCGGCTCCGATACCACTGTTGGGTTCTATGCTTGGATAGGGCAGCGGAAATATAAAAATTTTGGGTCCAAACGTAGATCCACCCAGGACCTCTTATGATTATTATAAGTTATTATTTAGAAATATACCTTTCTCTGCGAGCAAACAACGATATATGTGTAGGTTGATGGATTGATCCAAGAGCTAGCCACAAAAGTATATGACCTCCAGTTGAGACACACGAACAATGAAGAGCGTTCTAGAGAAAATTATGCTAGTAATTTTACTCTAGAATATTTCTAAAATATAAAATATTTGGTGTAAAGTATTAAGAGAACAAAACAAATTTTTCTCTCTTAAAACTATGGTATGGCCGAAATTCAAGTAGTCCAAAAGGGGTGGGATGATCTCCTATTTATAAGGAGCATAATCCCCATTCCTATTCCTAATAGGAATGTACCTTTTAGAGTTTAGGTAGGAAATCAAATCTCATTCCTATTCTACTTAGGAAATTTCAAATGGCACTTTAAAGAAGCTTCCAATTTATTTTGTCAACTTTAATTATCATATAATTAACACAACATAAATAATATAACATTTATTTTATGTATATCCGAAATATACATAAACATATATATATACACATATATACGACGATATATATACATATTATATACACGCACATATACATATATAAATATAATAATGTTATATTTTGTTCCTTAAATAATATTTGACAAACTTAATTATCATATAATTAAAATGTCCAAATATCAAATATATAAATATATATATTCTAGCGCCTTAATAATAATAAAATAAAATAATAAACAATTTATTATTCACATATATATCCAAATATATATATATATATATATATATATATATATATATATATATATATATATATACTTTATTATTATTAAATATATTTGACAAACTTAATTATCACATTATTAAAATGTCCAAATATAAATATTTATTTATATACGTATTTGTGTATCTAATCATATTGTCACACAATATAATATACACAACATATAAATAAAGTGCAACTTTACTCCACTTAAATATTCTACACTTTCATATGTTCTATGTGTGTGACCCTATTCTAGGCATTTATCAAATTGGTCATAGTATATAATACTACAAGTGATAAGCGGTATCTAGCAACACTATATCACCCCCAAATTATAGATTAAAGCTCTCGGAACAATTCCTTCAACGACACATCCTATTTGTATAACCCTTATCCCTTTATCACTAATATCTTGATTTAACTCAAGGTATGTGGTGTGTCACCTTGTTAAAGTTAAATCGATGGTTTACTGATTCTTCGATTGACTTGTGGGATTCAAACAATATATTTATTTGGGCATGGCCATGCACTTCCCAAGTCACATCAATCAGTGAGCCCTAAGATATTATACTTCATCAAAGAAGGGAAATTCTATCTACGTCATTCACATCTTCGCTTAAGTTTCATTACATACCCAAAACATAACTGTACATCCACCAATATTTTAGATGGAATAAATCATGCCTCAAAGTATACAACTCAACTTACCAAAGAATGTAATGACTTCAAGTCAAAGGATAGTTATACTAATGGTCGCATGAGAATAATATTAACACTTTAACTCAAACCCATATATTATTCTCATAGCGGGTCAATCCAGCAACATATCCAATATGGTTGCCTACGTATAGATTCAGATAACACTTTATCTATAGCCTATGAGACGCAGCTATCTCATCTCATACGTATTAGTCTTGATATATTATGATGTCCGTATTGTCGTAATATTCGANTTGATAATGAATAAATATATTTGGGATAAATCTCATAGAGATAAATGGAGAATTTGTTTATTAAGTGAACTTTGAAATGAATTCTTGAAATAAACCATGAGAATAAATTAAATTGAGAACCTTTTGTGATAAAGGTCAATAAAACCAATTTGGACTCTGTCAAAGTCAAACACCCAAAAATATGATCTCGGAAAAAGTATTACAAATAAATGTAAAAATTATATCGTTGGATAGAGTTTAAATGCCCAATCGCAACGGTGCAAACGGAATTCAATTTGGAGAAAGTTGGACCAAAAAGTATAGCCCGATTGGGACCAAAATTAGTCCCAATCAGGGAACAGCGTATAATATCGCACTATCGCTGAACGCAGATCACTCAATTGGGAATCATACGCCGCAGCAGCTCCACATCCTGTGTCTTCTCTTCCTCTTCACCATTACAAAAGGGAAACTCCATTCTTCTCATTTCTTCACCAATCTTTCTAAAATTAGTGTCGTAATGTTCCTGAGAGTGAGTAGAGCATTCTGCATTAGTTAGTTCGTTGCCGCCGAGGTCGCCAGAGCAAGCCGTGGTGTTCGCGGGATGTTTCTCCAGAAAATTCTCAAAACCTCCATTTAAGCTCAAGGTAAGCCCGTAGATAAATCTAGTGACTAGAATGTTCGTATAGATCGTTTCTACGTTCATAAACGGTCATTTGGTTGAGTTTTGTGTTTGACATGTTGAAGAACCAAGAATCATAAACCTTGAAATTGTTGTTAAAACTACGTATTAATGACTCTAAAATGATTTCTGAACATTGGAAAACAGTTTTATATAATTTAATTGAAGTTTGGTGATTAAAAATGATAATGTTAAAACTGACCAGAGGAAGAAGATGATGAACAGTGGCCGAAAATCGATTATTTCCTTACTTAGAATCGATTAGAACTTTATTTAGATCAGCGGTTCGAAGTGAGTACCAGAAAATTGATTATTTATATTGTAAAAATCGATTTTTGTGAATTAATGGATTATTTATATTACGAAAATCGATTTTTATGAATTAATGGATTATTTATATTGTAAAAATCGATTTTGAATTAATGGATCATTTATATTGCAAAAATCAATTTTTATGAATTAATGGATTATTTATATTGTAAAGATCGCTTTTTATGAATTAATTGATTATTTAAATTATATAAATCAAATTTTATAAATTAATTGATCATTTTAAATTATTTTTCTTCAATAGTCCAGTTCATGCTCCGAAAATATTCCTGAAAATATTCTCTGAAATCCTATTTTTGATACCAATTAATTATGAAGAATATAAATATGAGTTTGTACAATAAAAATGATGTTTTTGGCATATAAAATATTATGTGATGCATGACGGTAAGTTTGGGTGTTAACACTCGAGACTAGGCCGCTAATTGTTATCAAATGTTATGTTGATTGATGATTATGATGAATGATTATTATGATGATTATGACTTGATGAAACCACTGATTAAAATGGTTATTTAGGATTAAATTATGAATTGAAATGAATATGTTGATGATTATGAGATGATTTGGATTGTAAGGATATCTAGAAGAACTCTAAGATATACCTAGGTTGACATTGGTTTCTATGACTATCTAGAAGACCTCTAAGATAGCATAGAAATAGGCGTTGCGAGTATAATTATGAATAGGGGTGTACAAAATCCGGGTCGGACCAGAAAACCGGACTGGACCGGACCGGAAAAACCGGTTCCGGGCTAGACCGGTAAAATTCCGGACCGGTTTCCGGTCTAAACATTTTGGACCGGTAAAATTCCGGTCCATTCCGGTCCAAGACCGGATCGTTTCCGGGTCGGACCGGTAAGACCGGATTGTCTATTTTTTTAAAAAAATTTAATACTTATAATACGGAGTTTACATATAATTATAAATACAATTGTATATTTTCATTGGTTTTTCTTACTTTAATATGAAATATAATTTTTTAAATGTAATTTGTATGGAGTATTTTATAATCCATTTCATAAACATTTACCCAAGAATATCCATAATTATAAAAAATAAAATTATTTTCCAAAAATTGAAGTAGAATCTTTCGATCTAAGGAATTAAATACTTTGACATATAAATTAGACTTGCTAAAACCAAAATAATTTAAAGTACAACTTTATAATATTTTTGAAATTTCAAAACTAACGGAAGTATAAAAATCATTTTACACCTATTATATTGTTGATAAAAATATTTTATATTTTATATTAATATAATTTCTTAAAAATAGACAAAAAGAATTAGAAAAAATAAATTCCGGGTTTTCCGGTTTTTACCCAGACCGGACCGGAAAAAACCGAACCGGAATCTAACCGGACCGGTTTCCGGTCCTATGCTTTAAGAGATTTCGGGTTTCCGGTTTTTCCGGTTCCGGTCCGGTTCTGGACCGGTGTACACGCCTAATTATGAATATTCGGTGGCCTGGGTTAAAACGTACGTACGGGATCTATAAACCAAACTTGAGGCACTTGTTTGGGGATACCACCCAACCCAACAGTGAGCATTCCGCTGTTCGGTTTCTGGATGACCTTAAGCGAAGGTAAGTTTAAGATTTTGAAAACCTCTTTTTGAAAATTTGTATCTTAAACTAGGTCTAACTTAAGGGTTAGTTAAGAGTGTTGTATTTAGGTGCCCTAGCGGCAATCAAATACCTATGTAACTGTACACTTTATCATGAATGAAAGGCCTTGAAGTATGTTTTATATCTCGTGTAACTTAACATAGCTTCAGTCCATAGACGATAGCGCTTCAGTAACATAGATGAGGACTACGATGTTCTGATTATGAGACTGTTACTTCTTGACGAAGGCTATGTCTAAAATATCCCTAGTCGCACTTTATGATAATACGGATGTCATAACGTATGAAGATTAGTACGTACGAGATGAGATAGTTGCGTCTCATAGACTATAGGTGTTGTGATATCTTAATCTGTACGTAGGTGCATATTATATCGATAATATGTGACTGGATTGACCCATCTTGAGAATACTGCATGGATCTACAGTAATGTGTTTATCAGTATTCTCAATTCGACCTTGCTATAACTATCCTCAGACTTGAAATTATTACATTCTCTGATATGTGGGGCCGTATGCTTTGATTCATAACTAATGCTATCCGAAATACTGGTAGACGTACAGTTATGCGTTGGGTATGCCGCTAAGCATATTTAGAAATGTGAATAACAGATACAGGATCTGTCCCTTCTAATGTATAGAAGTATAATGTCAATGGGCCCACTGAATAGTAGGACTTGGGAAAGTGCATGGCCATGCCCAGATATGTCGCTATCCAGAGACTGATAAATATCTGATCCCTACCAGTCTACTTGAGATTCAGTAACAGCTGATTTAACTATACAAGGATACACATCCCATGCCTTGTGTTAAATCATGACATTTAGGACAGAAGGATAATAGTTATAGAACGTCTTGTGTCGTAGAAGGTATTGATGAGATGAACGTCTTTTTCATAATATGGGGGTAATAATGTGTTGCTAGATACCGCTTATTATCTATGGTATTAATTTATATTAATATCATTGCTAGTGTTATGGATACCTAAATGGTCACACACTTAGGACTTGTAAGGGAGTAGTATACTACACTACTGGGAGTAATATTAAATATATAGTTGTGATAATTATATATATATATATATATATATATATATATTATTTATTTTCATCATTTTAATTATATGATAACTATTGATGTCAAAATAAAATGTAATGTATTTTTATAAGGGATGACCGAAAATACATTGGGAAAAATACAAAACATAATTTTATTTTTTACCTAATGATATATTTGATTCATATAATCAAATATTTGATTAGTAAATAATATTTGTCTTGTTGTGTTTGTTGGGAACATTGAATTAAGCTTAATTTGTTTTTGTCCCTAAAGCAATTTCCTAGCAATTCATAATGTAGTGTATTATAAAATGAGAAAAATCCCTCCCCATTTATATATCATATTTTTCGGCAATCACAAGGGAGAGAGAAGAAAATATTTATTTTGTGTTCAAAGTTATTTTTCTAAAGTGTTAGAAATATACACAAAATATTATAAAGAAATATTTATAAGATAAATATTTTTTACTATATATTTATTACTCCCAAAGTAGTATTCACTACAAGAAAATCTCATATTTGCAACAGAAATATTGCAATAGACATTTTTCCGTTGCACTATTGCAACGGAAATTTTGTTTGCAACAAAAATATTTTGCAACGGCCGTTTTTGCAACGGAAAATAATAATGTCTGTTGCAATTATGGTGCGAGGTTGGTGCCTTTTTCTGGGAGCTTTCTGCAACAGATTTTTGCAATGGTTTTTCCGTTGCAATCTGTTCGCAACAAGTTATTCAAGTTTTGCAACGGCATAATCAGTTGCGTTAACTCTGTTGCTAAAATAATTAAAACTAAAAAAATAATTGAAACTAAGAATATGAAATTAAAAATGGTTTTAAAAAACTTTAAAAAACTAATTGAAACTAAAAAAAATGAGCGGTTTATTTGAAAAACAACTTGACCACTCATTAACTCATCATTTCATAAAATAAGATAGTCACGTCACCTCATGTTTTGTAGAATTCTTTATCTAATTTTTTACTATATAAATTTTAATTTTCAATTTGAGTGGGTTTATTTGTTGAATTGGTCTAGGTAGAGTTTAGTTAATACAACACTTAATCGAGTGGGTCTTACAACCAAGTTTTAAGCACACCCATCTCTAATCAGTCTATCAATATGTAAGTTATGCACTTCTATATTCTCAGTTCAGATTTTAGAATTTGTTTTCAGATTCCCATAATCACATTTCATAAGTCACAAATTATGCCTAGGAGAGAACATTTTTATATTTCCAATTTCAGATGAAAAAACTTATTTGTGTGTTTGAATCTTTTGGTTTTGCTTGTATATGTAAAAAGTTAGTTTATTCACAGTGATATTTGACACATTGTGCATATGTTTGATTAGTATCTTTTAAATTCGTACCTTCTTTCAAACTTTCTTTTTTTAGATTTATAAGTATGTTTGTTTAACTATCATTTTATTTCACAATCATTTTCTAGTTTGCACCAGTTTAGATAGGTCAAGCCAAAGCTGAGGGTATTTTCTCTATTATCTTCAAGAAGGTATTTCTTTTACTCATATTTTTTTTTCCTTTTTTTATGTGTATGAGCATTTGAGGTGAAGATATAATTTCCAGTTTAAAATCTTTCAATAGGCTTTTTGTGTGTGTGGGTGGTGGGGAGGGGTTAAGATATTTTTTTTACATTAAATAAACTTTTGGTTATATATCCTCATATATAAAACTATGTAGACTTTAACTATCATTACACTACGAGTAATTATTATGTATCCATCCTGTTAACATTTATATCTACATTCTTTGGCTATATCATTTTCATTTATAATAATTTATACTGTCTATTTGAAGTGTGCTAACTCTTCTCAGAAACAACCTTATGAGGTATATGGATAATCTTAAGTCAATGGCAAATGAAGTTGTTCCAATGCTCCTCGAAAAGATAAATAATGGGGACAAAGATAATGGCTAATGAAGTTGGTGGCTCTATTTTCAACACAATAGACTAGAAACACTTGTGCCTTTGAGGGAGGCTAGACGTCAAGGATTATGGCTTGTGAGAGATCTTTCAAGCGTCGTCGTAGGAGTATAGGCTCTGTTTCTGAATCATATGTTGCCTCTCAACCGTCTTCCGTGCAAGCTCTCAAGGAGGATATTTCCTAGATGCTTCCTGAACCCATAGTCCAAACGATACTATATGAGGTGCAGAGATTGTTTGGGGACCGTTTGCCTTGTAGACAGGATGGAGCATACGGTGATGGAAGTGCACATGTATGTTAGGTTATTGTTTAATTGATTGATGCAAAACAATAGATATTATTATAAGGGTACTTGACAAGTACATGAAGTTTTATGGAAAATATTGAAACTCTTGTTTTGTGGAATACATGTGTTTGAGTATGTTTGAGTATCCCCGCTACATTTGATGGTTAAGTTTGTGTGAAATTGAGCATGCACGTAGTATGTCGTGGTTTTTTTCAAACTTTTGCAACGAAATATTTCGTTGCAGTTAAGATATTATTTTCGGTTTCAAATGAATATTTTTCGTGGCAAATATCAGTATTGAAATTTCAGGTTGCTTTTTTCTATTGCAAAATTTTGCAACAGAAAAACAGTTGCAAACTGTTGTTGCATTATGTTGCAACAGAATTTCTGTTGCAAACGCTAGCAACGACCTTTTCGTTGCATGTTTTCCGTAGCAGCATTGTGCAACAACATGTCTGTTGCAAATTTCCGATGCATTGCTTTGCAATGGAAAATCCGTTGCAGAAATGAATCTGCAACAATGGTTTTTGCAACGAAAAAATTGTAACAGAATATCCGTTGCAATCAACATTAGAAACGAAATTATACAAAAAATGCAATGGAAATTGCCATTGCAATTCTGTCTAATTCTTGTAGTGTTTATTATAGCCTTTACTATCCTAAATTAAACTTGCTAGCACAAGTTTAATCTAGGACTCCAGAGTAGGTTCGTGTGGATACGTTGGAGGCTTCATACGTTTGGCGCTACGTTCATCTCCTCAAAACCATCCCCGACCGTTTCTCCGTTCTCCGTTTTTCACCGTTAAGGTAAATTTTCTTACTATAGCTAGTAATTTACGTAAGTTATTCTTGGTTGGAATCGAGTTTTGGACTCAAGCCAAAGTGAGAATAAGTCTTTAGTCTTGAGAATAAGGCAATCCCTATGAATCATATAAAGGAACAACTCGAACTTCTCCCTTTGGCTTGAGTGGTAGAAAGTTAGAGCCCAGCGAAGGTATTATTGACTCTTTGTGTGTCATTAAGTTGATATTAGTATGAACACTCTACTTTGTAATAGAACAAATAACACTATATATATATATATATATATATATATATATATATATATATATATATATATATATATATATATATATATATATAAACACACACACACACCTTACGGTGAGATGACATGCTTCGGTTAGATGACGCAAAGCTCACCACACTACACTACAAAGCTCACCAATGGACAATGCAAAGCTCACCTGAAAATGAAGCAAAGCTCACCACTTTTAACCCCAAAACTCACCTTTTTTAAAATTTTAAAAAACTAATTAAAAATAAAATAACAACATCGGTCAACCATCAGTCAACGGCGGCAGAGCAGCAACGGCGGCCGGAGTCCGGCGGCTGGCGACCGGCGGCGGCGACAGGCGGCGGTCAACAGTCAAAGTCCAGTCATCACCCCTTCCTTTGATTTTATTTTTTGAAAAAAATTCAAAGTGTGGAAAAAATATTGTGAGCTTTGCCTTACAGTTTGGTGAGCTTTGAAGTTGTCTTTGGTGAGCTTTGCAGTGGCTAGTGGTGAGCTTTGTGTCATCTGACCGAAGCTTGTCATCTCACCGTAAGTTGTCATATCACTGGAGTCAATATATATATATATATATATATATATATATATATATATATATATATATATATATATATATATATATAAAACTAAAATTGAAGATCCCTCCCAATCTATCTAACTAAGTAATTACCATCATCGCCCGTCTATAGACTTGCAATCCTTGCATCTTGCCAAAATGGTTTGAATCATTTTGTACGTCATTTTTTTCCAAATATTATCATAATGCTATTTCATATTTTAAATTTTTTTAAAGTATTTTATAAAGTTTTTTATTTACTTTTTACTCATTTTTGTTAGTTATTTGATAAAGTAATATAGTTAATTTTATTTTGTATAGTTTTTAATATTGTTTTTTAATATGTAAGTTTTTGTATATCTTTCTAATTTCCAAATAAAAATATATTGAAATTAAATGTCTTCAATAAAATATCATTAAACGTAACATGTGATTTAAATTGATATGGAAGATTATATTTTTTAGGTTCATTTAGCTAAATTCTAATCTGGTATGAAAGTAAATCAAAGTGAAAATAGTTTAGTTTTAAACTCCCAATAAAGTTGTTAGGGGGAATATATGAGCTCAACTTTTCATGACTTCTGCCACGCACTAGCCTTTTCCTTACTAATTACTCCGTATTTACCCCACCCTCAAAGTCCATAAAGATATTCATCAAAAATAAAAATTAAAAGACCAGAAAGATACCACATCTCTTTTCTTTCGTCGTTTCCTTCCCACGCCTAAAGGCCTTTTGTTTTTAAATTAAAATTGTGGAGTGCGTTTGGTAAGCCGAATAAAGAATTGTGTATTTCAATAATAATCAGAAGGGAATTATATACTCAAATCCTAATGATAGAAAAAATTAGGCGAGCCTCGTCCTTGAGACGCTTAGAGACTTTATGCTTAGCATAGTTGTCAGTAATCGAACTTGGGTATTACCCCTTTGATACTCCTTGTCTTGCCAACTGAGCAACGCCTACGAGCAATCTTAATGATAGAAGAAAAGAATATAGGAAAACTTTTTAAGTTTTTAAAGGCCATGCGATATGGATAGATTAAAACCAATTTGGTACCAAAACAAGCTTATGTGTTATTTTGGCAAAGAGGATAGATAACACTACCCCTTACCTATCCCTTACCTTTTGGTACCAAATTCAAACGTAAACTAGTCTATTGTTTTGTCGATCGTACTAGATGAGATTGCTTTCTATATGACGATTATATTACCGTTCCCAACTAATAAATACAAGTTTTAAATCCATATAATTATTTAAATCAAATCATACCCATTTTTTGAACCTTGATGTAAACTCATTTAATTATTTAAATCACAACCATTATCTTAATTTACTACTTTTTTTTCTAGTACTGTTATGTTTAAGTTTTTTTGTGTATTGGATTGGTATTTTCTTATATGTGGTATTGTTGTTTTAAGTTTTTTATTATTATTTTGCGGTTGGTATTCTTTTTATGTACTATAGTTGTTTCATTTAAATCAATGAAATCTTATCGTGGCAATTAGATAAAAGTATTAATTTGATTTATATTATTTGTTGAAGTTAAATATTAAAAAAATGATAGTGTTTGTCTAAGTTAGTTTTTAAAAGATATTTTAAAATATTTTTCAAAGGAGATTTATTATTATATCATGGTATCAAAATACATTACATTTTGATAAAGATATTTTAAATTTAATATATAATATTTGCTAAAGTTAATTATTTTAAAATTAGTTTATACTAATATTCATATTACAAATTAAAGTCAAATATTTAAAAAATAGTTACACTAGATTGGCGAATTGGTGTATGTACACTCCCACTTGTAGTAAGAAAAGTATAAAATAAGTTGAATTCGAGGTGACGCTGATGTAGAAGCGAGAGAGAGATCGAGGATGCAGTAAGAAAGTATGAATGGTATGTATACCTTTCACCTTAAGTCATTATAATTGGGATGTCCAAACAGGAATCATTTTTATTTTTTGTTTGATTTTTTCTTCATTTTTTGATATTCACAAAAAAATTACTTTTTTATTTCGGGAAAAAAAATATTGTTAATTTGAGACCTACAGATGCAATATATGTTAGTTATTTTTTTTCAAACAAAAATAATTTTAAATTTTAAAAACATTTTTCAAACAATTTAAAAAAGAAATTTAAAAAAAACTTGATTAATAAAATAAGAAAATAAAGGAAAAAAGGGGGAAAACTAAAAATAAACAAGAAATAAAAAATAAGTACCACTGCTCCTATGGGTTGGAAAATAGGCACCAACGCCCCTTTTTTCCTTGAAAAAATGGCTCGAAAATGATCAGAGGGGTATTGGTGCAACGTTTTGAATCCACGAGGACTTTAGAAATAAGTTTTTAAAACAAAAGGGGCATTGGTGCCTAGTTTCCAAACCATGGGGAGTACTGGTGCTATTTGGCCAGGAAACTGATACACAATATATATCTATCATATGTACAATATATTAAATATATTTACTACTAAATATATCTAACATGCTCCCAAATACGTTGGTGATGTGGAATGCATGCCATGATTGTTTCCGAAGTCAAGAAAGAGGAGCGATAGAAGTCCATTAATGAACATATCGACACACTGTGACGAGGATGAGATGTGGAGTACGCGAACATGGCCCAAAGCAACTTTATCTGTAACAAAGTGATGCCAACATCAACACGATTCGTGTGCTGGTGCTGAATAGGATTAGATGATAAATAAACAACACCCATATTGTCACAAAATACAAGTGTTGCGTGGCGCAATGGCTGATAGGATGAAGTTCGAGGAGAAGATTACATCTCTTGCTTGTCTCGGCAACAACATTAGCGACAACCCGATATTCTGCTTCGGTACTAGAGCGAGAGGTGGTGGCCTGTCGCTTTAAGGATTAAGAGACAAGATTGTCTCCCAAGAACATAGAGTACCCAGACATTGATCTTTGAGTGTCTGGATTGCCTGCCCAATCAACGTTAGAATAAGCTTGCAGAGGGTTAATACCTGAGCAAGAAAGAGTGATGCCATGTGAGATGATGCTGCGAAGGTAGCATAACACGCGTTTCATTGGAGTGAGGTGAGTAGTCCTTGGAACATGGAGATGAAGGCAGAGCGGTTGCACAACATATTGAATATTTGGATGGGAGAAAGTAAGGTACTAAAGAGCACCAATAATAGATTGATAATGCTCTAATACCATAAAGATTTGTGCATTTCAATAATAATCAAGAAGGCTTACAAGGTGTTGTATTTATATACAGAAATTCTAATAAAAATAAAAGAATACAAGAAAACCTATACACAAAATGTATCTACCATATGTACAATATATTAAATATATTTACTACTAAATATATTTAACTCTAGAGAATCGGGATGAAAAGAGTATGATAAGGAAATGAACATAACATCAAGGAAAATCAAAATTTTAAATAATGGTATATTAGATCATTTTAAATATGTATAGTAAATTCAGACTCAATATATGAGGATTATGTATCTAGGCCAAGACAACTATAGCCCACAACATTGGTTAAAGGGTGAAGCTCATATGAAATGGATCAAGTTGACCCGACCTAGAAGTGAGGGTGAAACCACAAGAGCATTGCAAAAGTTTGGCGCTAGGGTTATGTGATAGTAAGGAAAAAATTTCCATGATTTCCCATGATAATGGACAGCATCTTCCTTTCATATCTTATAAGGTGAGTGTGGTTTTTTGATCTCTTGTTTCTATAAATATTTTTCTCCTTTCTCGCGAAATGATCACACTCTTTATTCACAAGTACTATTATCTAACTACATCTCTTTACTCTTAACATACATAAGATTCATAACTCTCTATCATTTCAGTGGATTAAAATTCATCATTATATTTAGTCTTTTCATTGAGAGTTGAAGCATAGATCTGCAACTGTTCTCATTCGGATCAATGACTGAAAGAAACTTATGAAAGTAGGGAGGCAAAGATCATTTGAGAGTATGAGAGGCTCCGAAAACATAAGATGATCAAGGGAGCAGCTAAGTGCATCGGAAAAGACTACACGACAATGCAGTACATGCCAAACCACCAACTTGGCTCCATCGTCAACAACATCACATGCACGCTTCAACCCGATGGGAGGGGATTTTGAGAGGTTACAATTTGGGAGAACCTAGGTACAAAACAAGCTTGGCACAAATGAAAGGAAAGTAAAACCATTGAACAATTAGTGTACTCGGAGTTCCATGCATATCCCTTGGGGAGGCATGGCTCGGAATGCTAAAGTGCCCGTGAGGTTGAGGCTTTAGAAGGGACTCAAAATAACATAATATAAACTCTCCCTGGGTGGGGGGGTCTTGAGGGTATGCTTGTGTGCAATATAATCTCAGGGGGAGTCCCTTGAGGGTTTGTTTTTGCCCAATGTAATACCATATGCTTTGAGATGGAGGTTCGGTGAGGTAACAATCATGAACGTCATTTGGAGGCTACGAAGGTATATGTATGACAAGTGGCATCTACGTCTAGACAATGAAGATGAAAATAGGCATGATAGGGAACATATGAGGAGAAAACATCAAAATGGGTGGACTACATCATTAGTGGAGAAAGTAATTCCATTTTTCAAAGTAATAACATCTAGCATTATGGGCGTAGCCCAATACACTTTGGAAAATAAAAAAAGACGTAAGAGCATGCTTTAGAACCTAGGTCATATCTCAGAGCTTCTAAATGGGAGAATAAATGTTGTGGGAATGAGAAAGGGCAAACCGTTAGAGGGTGGAAAGCTCTCAAAATCCTAAGAGAGACCCCACATTGTCAAAGTTGTAGTGCGTCTTGGGACCAACAAACTTTTCACTCCTAAAAGAATGGATGTTGATAGAATAAGAGGTAGTGGGAAGCTTGATGTTATCAATAAAGGACATTGACTCTCGGTCTGGGGGAAACCCATTTAGGACTTTTTCACCATTCCTTGTATAGATCCATCAAATCAAGGTAAACAAGAGACTCTGCCTCAAACCTTTTCCCCACTTCAGTAATCAGGATAGAGAGTTCATTTAAAATAAAATGTATTTGCACAAAGAAATGGCTAGTCGGGTCAAGCCCCTCCAAGGGATGGTACAGAGGATTTGGTCATCCTTGGAAGATCACTCTTTTAGCCTAAGGCATTGAAGTCTCTCTTTCCTTAGCCTAAAACAATGAGGGGAAACGAGCCATAAGGAGCTTGAACCTAGGAGTCCTATCTACTACCCCATGAATCTGGATCAAGCTTTCGTAGAAAGATTGAGTCTTAGAAATATGTAGAGGTTGGAAAGGACGCCATAAAAACATTTAAATACAAAGCCTCAAGCTAATGAGACTTGATCAGAGAATTGATACCTACCATGGGCGGGCTCAAGGACTTGGGAGTTTCTTTGAGTCCCCACAAGGACCCAAAGAATCCCAACTTAATGTAGAACAACAGTTGAGGATGGGGACTTCTTTGTGTAGGCTAATTAATTACCCATGAAATAGAAAGTGACCCTTCCTAGAAATATACATAGGTAAGGAGCCCTTGTCTATTCAATCGATTAAAACTTAGGTCATGTGTTTGAGGGAATGCAAGGGAAATTTTGATGGTTTTCGTCGGACTTAAGAAGGCTCCCAGGACACCTTTCCTGTATTCGATAGTTAACAACCATTGGATAAAAACTTTATCTCACCTAAGTACATGTATGGGGAAAGATGAAGGGGGCTTAATTTTGGCAAGCACAAAATCCCACGGTGTGAGGCTTCATCCTATGATGGATGCAATACTTCCATTTCTCAGGAGAAGATCACTCATGTTGGAATAGTCGTCGACAAAAAATGTTGCTAAGGGTTGGCGGAAAACTTAATGTATCTCTCTTCCCTTTGAGCACTCAAAGCTAGGGGATAACTACACCACAAACAAAAGAGGTGACTAGGTATTAATACGCAAGACTTCGTTATGTAACGTTCAAAATAATATTCACCATAAATGAATATTGAATTGTTTCTTACAGATTGTTTCCATTCAAATCCCATCCATCTATTTGAGATCAAAGGCGATTTAACTTCAAAATAGAGTGGACGAATTAGAACTTTTACATAGAAAACCGTTAAAGCTTGGTTCAAATGAATACGCTATGAGAATGAGTTTGGGGCCTAGGGTCCCGAGACTTGAAATCCAGACACCAAGACAACGAGCCTATGGGCCGGCGTCCTGGGACTTGAAGCTGAGATAATGAGCCTGGGGTTCGGAGTCCAAGGACTTAAAGCCAAGACACCAAGACAGCACATGGCCCCAATATTACGTAATGTGTCCCGCATTTCCCATCCTGCATGATGTGCATCCAATCCCTTGTGCGCATATGCTTTCTATTTGGTATGTCCCCATGTGGGATGCAAAAGATCCCACATAAATTTTAACAATTTCTTTTAGTCAATAAGTAAACTCTAAGAAAAAAATTTCATTCACCCGTTATCCATTTTTGACATATAATATATCAATACGCTCGTTTCACTTTGGAGAACCTATGTCCAAGAATTATGGTCAAAACTGTTAGTGAAGCCCGTTCATTATTATATCCAAAATTTGGAACTAATGCACAAAGTAATCCATTTTGGCACATATTACTTTAGAGGGGTGTATTAAATTAGGAATCTGATGGATTTTTTTTGAATTTTGAAAATATGTAGGTATTCAATTCGGATGTAAGAAAGTTATTTAAAATCTCCGTGTATTCAATTCAAATTTTAAAAAATCTTTCTAAATCTGATGATATTAAAAAATTGATAGATATTTAAAGATTTTTAATAATGTGAATTTTTAGGATTTGCGTATAAATACAAATTCACTCACAAATCTTACACAAAAGGCAAATATTTTGACAACTCCTTCATGGACTCCTGTACTGGCTCCTTTGGTCCCCTTCATCTCTCCTTCACCATCTACTTCTTGCTTCCACTGGGACGCCTTCCATAGGCTGATCTAGATTCCATGGTGTCAGAGGCAAGGCGGATGCGCAGCTGATTTTGTCTCTTATTTCAGTCCGGTGATAAATTACAAAAAGAATTATAGTTCGAGCTATGTCAAGGCAAGTTTTTCAATTCTAGATGGAGTCAGGCAATAAATTACAGAAAATTTACAGATCCGATGAAAATTTATAAATAATTTATTTTTAGAGCTATCGCAATTGTAAATGGCGAAGAAGAAATACGAAGGCGGAGGATGAAGAAGATCGTGGAGAATATAACGGATAATTCATAATTAATATTCTATTCTTATATTGTTGGTATTATCTTGTACAAGTTGTTAGGTTGTATATATCCCCAACTCCCTGCCTTGACTTCAGGATCTGTTAACAACTTCTCAACTTCTGTTTGCTATATATTCACATCTCTGTGATCAATGGAATTATCTTGTTCAGTCTATATTCTTCTATATGGTATCAGAGCCTCATCTCTTTTGAAAGATTTTTCTTCCCTACTAGATTTTTTTTTCTTTTCACGTTGCCATTACTTTCTCTTTACTCGGCTATGGCACCTTCGTCTTCTTCGGGATTGATTCATCTCGCTACCTCTAAACACTTTCCCATTCAGCTAACCAAGGAAAATTTTCTGGTTTAGCAACAACAAGTCTAATCTGCCCTCATAGGTCTGGATCTACTTGGGTATATTGATGGAACCCTATCAGCTCCTTCCCAATTCTCGAATGCGGAGCACAAACAAATTAATCCTGCCTACACTCTTTGGTACCGCCAGGACGCTATTCTTTGTAGCGCCATCCTTGGCAGTTGTTCGGCAGAGGTTCAGCCGCAGATTGCACTAGCTCCTACAGCGGTGATGCATGGTCCCGTCTGACCACTAATCTGGCTAATATGTCGAAGGGACGCATTATTTCTCTCAAGGCCAAATTGGCGAAGAACCCACGTGGTACACGCTCGATTGATGCGTTCTTTGCAGATATGACCAAAATTGCTGCAGATCTTGCTTTGGCTGGTAGCCCTGTTTACGATGATGATCTCGTGGTGCACATCATGACTCAACTCGGGGATGATTATGCATCCCTCTATCAATCACTACGTGGCCGAGGAGTTTGTGCTTCCTTGGATGAATTGTTGACAATTTTGCAGGACAGTGAACGTGAGCTCCGAGATCGGGTGGCTACGACGGATGGGTTGATAGCCACTGCCAACAACACTCAACGCCATTCTCGTGGTGGTTTTTCTTACCGTGGTGGTGGCTCTTTTCACGGTCGTGTTGGCAATCGTGGTGGTGGTCGTTCCAATTCACATGGTTCCACTGGCAATAATCGTTCCACTCGTTATTGTCGGTTCTGTGAGTATCCTGGCCATGACACTAGGTTCTGTCGTAAGCTCCAACGGTTTTTGATGGACAACAATTGTTCTTTTGGAGAAAAATCCTTGTCAGCAGCCACTGCCAATTTGACGATTTCTCCTGGTGGCACCAGCAAGGCTCCTCCACAATGGTTGGTTGATAGCGGTGCTTCTCATCATGTAACCAATGATCTTTCTTCATTGAACACCTTCATGGAGTATGGCGGACCAGATGAAGTGCGTCTTGGTAACGGTAAATGTTTGACAATTTCTCACACTGGTCGTTCTTCTTTACCCACGTCCTTTCAGCCACTTACCTTGTCCAATGTGTTGTGTGTTCCTAGTCTCCAGAAGAATCTACTTTCTATTTCTCAATTGTGTCGTACTAATCCTGTTTCTGTCGAATTCTTTTCCTCTCATTTTGTTGTCAAGGATGTGCGCACGGGGATTCCACTGGTTTGGGGAGTCAACCACAATAATCTCTATTCCATTGCTGCTGATTCCCGGCAGGCACGCCAAAGGCCTTCTGTTCATGCCACTTCTGTTGCTGTCTCCTCCTTAGCTGATCTTCATCATCGTCTTGGTCATCCAAATAATAAAACTTTATTTGTCATTCTTCGTGGTTGTAATGCCTTTCATAAGTTTGGGTCCTGTGCTGAATTTCATTGTTCATCTTGTCATATTAATAAAATCCATAAGTTGCCATTCTCTTTTAATACCTTAACTAGTACTGTTCCACTTGACCTGGTTTACACCGATGTGTGGAGTACTTCTCAAGCCTCGTTGGAGGGTTATCATTACTATGTGATATTTGTTGATCACTATACTAAATACATCTGGTGGTATCCACTTAAGCACAAGTCTGATGTGTTTCGAATTTTTCCTCAATATAAACGGTTGGTTGAAAACTACTTCCACCGCTCTATTAAATCTGTTTTCTCTGATAATGGTGGTGAGTTTCTCAAATTAGTTCCAATGTTTAATGAACATGGGATCTCCCACTTCACAACACCTCCATATACTCCTGAACACAACGGCACCGCCGAACGTCGTCATCGGCACATTGTTGAAACAAGCTTGTCTTTGCTTCATACTTCGGGTCTTCCACTTTCTTTCTGGTCCTATGCATTCCAAACTGCAGTGTATCTTATTAATCGCCTTCCCACACCCTTACTTCGTAACCGATCTCCGTTTGAGGTTTTATTTCATCAGTTGCCCATTATGTCAACTTCAAACCCTTTGGATGTCTGTGTTATCCATGGCTACGTCCCTATCATACTACTAAACTTGCCCCACGGTCTACCCCGTGTGTGTTTCTTGGATACTCTACTTCCCAATCTGCTTACAAGTGTTATGACCTCCAATCTGGGAGACTTTATCTCTCTCGTCATGTAAAATTTGTCCCCACTGTATTTCCATATGTTATGCCTCATTTCCCTCCCATGGCGTCACCCTCCACCTCCCAGTCTTCGTCTCTTCCTTTTCTGCCAGTCTCCACTGCCCATACTGGCAGGAGATTTCCTTTGTCTTCTGCCCCAAGCTCCCACGTCCCTGAGGCTTCAGCCGGCAGTCCCATGTCTTCCTCGTCTTCCCCGTCTCTAGCATCTTCTTCCCAGTCCTCCTCTGCCGTGTCTTCTTCTTCCTCTGTTGTTCGTCCTCCCCGACCAATTCATGAGAAAAAGTTGAACACCCGTTACTTTAATGACAAATTTATTAGTCATGTTGCTGTTGCAGAACCTCTTACTTACATGCAGGCACGGACTGATCCCAAGTGGAGAGAGGCTATGGATGCCGAATATTTGGCCCTTATGCATAATCAAACGTGGGAGCTTGTCCCTCGAGGCTCCAACTGTCCAATTCAATGTAAATGGGTTTTTCGCCTCAAGCGTAAGCCTGATGGTAGTGTGGACAGGTACAAAGCACGGATGGAGCACCCGTCCGGTTATCGGGATCCTACTCATCCCGACTATATTTGTCGCCTTCGCAAGGCTTTATATGGCCTCAAACAGGCCCCTAGGGCATGGTACCTGGAACTTCTGCCTTTTTTGGTTGCCTTTGGTTTAAAAAAGTCCAGAGTTGATGCTTCATTGTTCATTTACTCAAAGGGGTCTGTGCTGGTTTATTTCTTGGTTTATGTCGATGACATTGTACTAACAGGGAACGACTCTGGGTTTTTGGATCGCTTTGTGATCTGTTTGTCCCAACGGTTTTCTTTAAAGGATCTTGGCCCTTTACATCATTTCTTAGGAGTGGAGGTTCTTCCCGTATCTGGAGGTTTGTTCTTATCTCAGCGTCAGTATGTTCATAACCTACTCCTGGAGCATAACATGGCCTCTGCTAATGCTACTGTCACTCCTCTCAGTCCCACTGTCAAGTTGCACCTTCATGATGGTGCGCCCCAGGCTGACTCGACTCTGTTTCAGAAGCTTATTGGTTCTCTTTAGTATCTTGCTATAACCCGTCCGGATCTGTCCTTTGCTGTGAATAAGCTGTCTCAGTACATACATGCTCCAACTATAACGCATTGGCAAGCGGCTAAGCGTATTCTCCGTTATTTACGTGGCACTCTTGCTCATGGGTTGTTTATTCGGGCCAATGTTCCCTTAAGTCTCACTGTCTTCTCTGATTCCGATTGGGGAGGAATTCATGATGGTGGGAAGTCTACCACTACTTATGTTGTTTATCTTGGGTCTAATCCTGTATCTTGGAAATCCACCCGACAAAAGACGGTCTCTCGCTCGTCTACGGAAGCCGAGTATCGGGCCCTTGCGCATGGCACGGCTGAGACTTTATGGCTACAACACCTATTGTCAGAGCTAGGTGTTCCTTTGCGAGGTGTGCCGGTACTTTACTGTGATATCTTGGGTGCTACATATGTCTGTAAGAATCCGGTGTTTCACTCCCGGATGAAGCATCTTGCGTTGGAATATTACTTTGTTCGTGATCTCGTGGCGGCTGGTTTGCTGCATGTTCGGCACGTACCCTCCACTGAGCAACCTGCTGATCTTCTCACAAAGGCTTTGGGTGCCCCTTTGTTTACCAAGTTTCGTTCCAAGATTGGCGTCTCTGACGGATAGTCAATCTTGCGGGGGCGTATAACGGATAATTCATAATTAATATTCTATTCTTATATTCTTGGTATTACCTGTACAAGTTGATAGGTTGTATATATTCCCAACTCCCTGCCTTGACTTTAGGATCTGTTAACAACTTCTCAACTTCTGTTTGCTATATATTCACATCTCTGTGATCAATGGAATTATCTTGTTCAGTCTATATTCTTCTATAGAGAAGATGAAGATAGCGGAGGAAGAAGATGGTAGATGAGGAGCAAAAAGGAGGAGAATGATGGAGACGGTGGATGAAGAAGAAGATGGGGGGGTGGAGAAAGAGGACTGTTATAAGATGAATGGCGGAAGAAGAAAGACTCGAGAGAGTTGATCTGGCAATGGGAGTACATGAATGGATGAAGTATTACTATGGATAAATTAGACAAAGGGTAAAACTGACATTTTACTTTAATTTTTTTTTGCTAAAAAGGAAAATAAAAGAAAACTTTTAGACCTTTAAAAAAAGGGAGAAAATTTATAGACGAAGGGAGTAAATTATTTTTATTTTATTTTTTTTATTTTTTTATTTTTAATTTTTAAATTGATATCATAAACAAAAGTTTTTTTACGGCTCATAAACAATAATCCGTAGTTGATGTTAGAAATTTAATACTCCTTCTGTCCCTAAATAAACTTCCCTTTTTGACTTTTTGAGGATTTAAGAAAGAGATATTTTTGTGTTGACTTTTCAAAAATAACCTTGATGTGATGTGTAAAAGTAAGATTTGATATGTAGATTATTAGTAGTAAAAAGATATGATGTGATAGGTAGGGTATGAAAAAGTAAGGGATAAAAGGGGTTTTTTAAAGAAAAAGAGAAGTTTATTTAGAGACAAAAAAATAAAAGGGAAAGTTTATTTAGGAACGGAGGAGAGAGTATATTTTATCAACATGATTGAATACACTATCTTAGGTATTCTTTTCAAAGGTATTTACATAGAAGTATATCGGCTCGGTTCCATGGCCACTGGATTCCAGTGGCCATGATACGGGCGTGGAGTATATATAGCCGAGTATATATATATTCAATTAATGATGATAGTGCTGTGAAAGCGGCCCAGCCCCTGTCCCACGACAATATATGTATGCACTATGATGGGGAGCGAAAGCAATATTGGGTTCGAGGGAAAGCAGAGAGAGGATTCAGAAGTTCAATGGCTTTTGAGCTAGAGATTAATGGAGGCGGAGACCACGGGAGCATTATGTGTGACTCCTCAACCACCGTGTCCGCCGCCGCCTTCTTCCCCGTGCAACACCCAACTGAGCCTCTTGAAGAAGACCGCCCCATCCTCTGTCCAATCCCATACTCTTCTCTCTTAAAGGTTTTCTTCTGTTTTCAACCTTTCTTTCTTTATTTTCTTGATTATCAAACTCTTAGAATTTTTGGCCTGTAATGGGAACATAAATTCGGTGGGATCCATGAGATTATTTCTTCAAAATAATTATCGACAATTAACCTCCAAAGTTACACGATTGCTTCGATATATTGTGCGCCAAAAATGGTGCTCAGTTGAATCAGAAATCAATTCACAAAGTCGAACACTTGGAAGAATTGTTTATAAAGGAATTTACCTAAATAGCACTAAAACATAATGACTTTTCTTAAATAGCACTACATATGTTTTTTTCTCAACGTATCACTTTTAGTCATTATCCATTAGTCATTATTCAAGTAAATATTTGCTATCACTGGTCATTATGGACATTATAAAATGCTATTTAGGGAAGAAAACACTTGGGGGATTTTTGCAGGTGAATGGGATGCAAGAAGGGAGGTTTTCCGCGGAAATTCCCCGGAGGAGGCCGGAACATTCTTCAGCACTACCTCCGAGGAAGAGCGGAGGGATACTGGAGGTGACGATGGAGCCGCCGGTCAGGGCGGTGCGAAAGCGGCACCACCCGCTAGGGCAAGGGTACAGGGCGGCCGCGGTGGCCGTTCCTGTGTGGAGGGCACCGCCGCAAAACCCGACCATGTCCCAGGTGCTCCACCAATTCAACCACCACTTCAAATCTTGATCCCCCCAACTAAAACCATCTCCAGATCAATAAATATATGAGGAATTTACTTAAATAGCACTAAAACATAATGACTTTCCCTAAATAGCACCACATGTGTTTTTCTTCCCAATTTAGCACTTTTAGTCATTATGCATTAGTCATTATTCAAGTAAATATTTGTCATCACAAGACATTATGGACATTATTAAGTGCTATTTAGGGAATAAAATAATTTAAGTACTATTTAGAGAAATGACTTAAGTTTTAGTGCTATTTAGTGCAAATATTTCTAAATATATACGGAGTATATAAACAGTGACGAGCTGGTCTGTTCGTCAACTCCTTTTAACTAGTCTTTTGTTGAGCTGCTCCCCTGTTTGATAATGATGTTAACTACCGTATCTAGAGTATTTTTAACTGCGACTATGCTAGTTGTAAGTTTGTACAAAATTATTCCGTGGCAGGTGTGCTTTATAATTAAGGTATTATAATCATTATTAGGGTTAATTACACATACAATCCCTATAGTTTGCATAAGTAGCACATTTACCCTCTCTCATATCAAAATTATCCTCTTTTCCCCCCTCCGTCCTAAAACTTTCTTCCCGGTTCGCAAAACGAAGAAAAACTCCTAAGTTTTTTCAATCTATTTTATTTAAATATTGGTATAGAAATAAAAAATAAAACATACATATTTAAAAACTACATCAAAAGTTCAACAAAACAAGTGGTGACAATAATATTTTATTTTATCATATAAGCCATGAAAAACACAAATAAATATAAATTCCCGTGAAGTTGGAATAGTGCTCTGGGAAGAAAGTTTTAGGACGAAAGGAGTACTTCGTAAGACTCTTTCCCCCCTTCATATCCAAATGAATTGCACCGTTACAATTACGGTGTCTTAATAATTTTATTTTTTATATATTTTTATCAATCATTTGATAAAATAAAATATTTTTTGTCACTTCTTTTTTAAAATTTTTGATGTAATCTTTTAATATATAAATTTTATTTCTTTTTATTTCTATACCAATTTGTAAATAAAACTAAGAGTAATTCCATAAAAGGTCTTCAGTTATAGTTCGTTTTACATATTTAGTCCCTTCGAATGGTCCTTTGTTAACATTTCTGTTAAGAACGTTGATAAAATTGTAAATTCACGCTCCGATTTCTCCTCAATTAAGCTTCCTCTCTTCTCTCGCACTCCTTTCTCAAACCTGTTGCTAAGTTTGAAGCTTTGAAATCAAAACCAAAATCATCTATCCTCTCTCAATTGTTCGTCTTTGTGGTGGAATTCAAAATCGAAACCAGTCACCTTCATGAATGAGTTTTAAGGTTTGTTTTCTTTGTAATTTTCTGAGATTAACCTATAAAATTCATGCATGGAGGTTATTGGTTTTGACAGAAAATTACTCACGGGTGACGCGAGTTTTGTTGAAATAACTCTCAGGTCCCTCTATTTTAAAAAAGACAGCAGAGGTCCTTACATTTTGTTGTAATGACTGGAAGAGGACATTTCATCCAATATTTCATCTATAAACGTTAATAAATGTATTTTTTTCCTATTCTTTTCTAAATGTTTTAAGGTAATAAATCTTAGGTCGCTCCTTTTTTTATTTCTTTGTTTTTCTTTCATTTTGTTACTCTTTTTTTTAAAGTGTTATTTTAGAATTTCTTCTATAAAATCGTATAAAAATTCAAAATTGTTTGTATTATATTAAAACAAATGAAATAAAAAAATTTTAAAAAAAGAAAAAGCAAGGTAATGGCAAAATAGGAAAAAAAAGTATTGGAAAAATAGGAAAAAAATTCATTTATTAACACTTACGGATGATGTATTGGATGAAATGTCCCCTCTCAGTCATTACAACAGATGTATTGGATGAAATGTCCCTTCTCAGTCATTACAATAAAATATAAGGACCTTGGTTGTCTTTTTGAAAATAGAACTTGAAAGTTATTTCCACAAAACTCGCGTCACCCGCGAGTAATTTTCTGTTGGTTTTGATTTTGTGTTCCACCAGAAAGATGAAAAATTGAGAGAGAAGTGATCGCTTCGGTTTTGGGTTTAAAGCTTCAAACTCAGCGACAAGTTTGGAAATGAATACGAGAAGAGGGAGGAAGCTTAATTGAAGAGACAGAAGTGTAAATATACAATTTAATCCATGTTTTTAACGGAAATGTTGACAAAGGACTATTTGTGGAAAACAATATAATACTTGGGGACTAAATTATTACTATTTCATATGTAGGAACTAAATATGTTAAACGACCTATAACTAGGGAATTTTTATTGAATTTACTCTAAAATGAATTTACCAAATATGAGATTTTGCACGTTGATCAAAGAGTGTAATTAATTTTGGAACAAAATAGTGGAAAAAGCCTGAATAAAACTAAAACATAGAAAATAAACTTAAATAGGAAAATCAAACCATAAATTCTCGAAATAGAAGTAACTTTGCATCGCCGACCCCAAAATACCCCTCGACATTTGTGACGCGGATCCAATTTTTTCCTCATTAGTCGCGCTTCATGTCTACAAGACCACAAGTACTTGGACATGTTGTCCACATGCCACATTACAACAGTATAAACTCTTATTTTGGAAATAAAAACATGGAGCTCCTATGTTCGTACTTTCTCTAAAGCAGAAGTAAAACAATAAAAATATAACAAAATAGAAGTTTCATATTTTTATTCTCGAAATATGAGGTAAAATACATTTATATTACCAAGCATGACTATGTACATTACAACAAATGCTTATGTAGAGTATCATATTACCCGAGTGCAAAGTCATATTTAGGGAATAAAAACATAAAACTCATATCACATTTTGATACTTTCTTTATGTTTTATTTCTTTAAAATTAAAGTGATTTAACACAAAAGGATAAATGGGTCGCACAAGGAAAAATGAAACACACGGGAAGTTAATAACTCCATATATAATGAAAAAGAGAAGAAGCAAGTGAGGGACTTATGAAGAAATTTAAAAATATTTCTTTAAAAAATAAAGTACTTTATACGAAGTAAAAGAAAAAAGAATAGAAAAAGGTAATAAAAAAGAAAAAGATAAAAAACTATTTTTGTTTCAAGTAAAATAAAATATATACAATAAAAAATATGGGATTCATAAAAGAGTTTGTAAATGTCAAGCCCATTTCTATTTTAACTTTGGATCATGCTACACTTACACCAAAAATTATACCCCATTTGTACACCGCAGTTATACACAAACATTTTGATAATTTACATCGACACAAATGTTGGTGCGCTAACAAAAATTTACACGGACACAAAATATTGGTGCGTTAACAAAACTTAGTTTTACACCAACATAAAATGTTGGTGCAAACCTACGGGGTACAAAGTGGGGTACAAAAACTTGGGGTACAAGTAGCTTTATCCTTTCACTTTTTAGACAAGTTAAAATACCAAATAATCTAATTTTATTATAAAGTCAAAGATCAAATATTGGAGGTTGGAATTTAGTAAGAGGGTGTTTGGGAGTGATTAGTTTATGGATAAAGTGATTTCTACAAAAGCTGAAAGCAAAAGCACCTCATACCTGCTTCTCCGAAACGGTGTTCCATGTACAAAATAATGTTGGTGAAAAGCAGAAGCTGACATGCCAAACAGAGTAAAATCACTTCCACTCAAAGCAGAAACTAAATTGTTAAAAGCAACGCACTTCCAAATACCCTCTAAGAAAAATAAAAGCACGATTACAACAGTTAGGGTGCAAGTGTTGTTCCAAACAGGACGCTTCTTGTGCTAGTTATGCAAATCTTAGAGGGTGTATATGTAATAAACTTTCATTATTCATCCCTTTAGTTCTAATGACATTGGGAATTAATGTCATGGGATGATCCGAGAGTACTCTAATGCTCCATTTATAAAATTTACAATTTTTACCCTCTTGTGCTAGTTATGCAAATCCTAGAGGGTGTATGTGTAATAAACTTTCATTATTCATCCCTTTAGTTCTAATGACATTGGGAATTAATGTCATGGGATGATCCGAGAGTACTCTAATGCTCCATTTATAAAATTTACAATTTTTACCCTCCTTAAACCCTTGGTAAACCCCCCACCCGACCCGACCCGAACACCTCCCCACCCCCTACCCTCAAGTTAATTTTGACTTTGAAGTCTAATTTGATTCCAAAGTCAAATTTAATTTGGGAGTGTAATTGAAGGGTGTGCGGTGGTGAGGGGTATACTCATGTCAGAGCAGGGTGATGGAGTTTACCAGAGGTGGGAACAATCAATATTACGAACAGGGCACCGGAGCAGCCCAGAGTCATCCCATAACATTGATTCCGAATGTCTTAAGAATCGACCTCTATTATTATTATTATTATTATTATTATTATTATTATTATTATTATTATTATTATTGTAATTAGAGGAATGCCATTAGAGGTATAAAACTTCATGATTGAGAAGCATTATTCAAGATAAAAACATTTGGATGTTAAATAGTTAGAAGACGACATTATGTAGAAACATTGGGTTATTGGAATCTCTCGGTTCTGAGTTCTTCATTAACCAATTTAGGCTTTGCTCTTTTGGATTATAATTTTAGAAGTATATATCAGAAGAAACTTAAGTTGAGAAATTGGAAAGAGTTAAAAAATATTAGAAAAATTAAAGTGTTAAAAGTCGCTCAAATAAATGATCAATCAAATAAATATGTAAAAAAATTGTAAATTTGGATAAAAAAAATTATCATCATCCTTATATGAGGTTGTATGTTATATATTTGAATATATAATGTTATTGTATATATTCATCATATATGAATGAATATTTTTTTGTGTCATTATTCGAAGAAATCGAAAGGAATTGAATTGAAAAAAACTGCAAGAAGTTTGAAGAAACATGAAGTCAAAAAAGTTAAAAGTTAATTTTTTTAACTCAAAAAACAGGGTGTTCATAATAATTTAGAGAACACAACTTTTAAGTTAGAGTTCTTTTATTGTCCTAAAGTTTCCATGTAAAATATAGATTTCTCACACTTGCATCGACTATCAATTAAGTGAATCTTTGTTTATTATAAAAGGCCTAATTCTTTTATGGAATCGATATACTAAGAGTTATAAAATGAGTGTGTACCTTAAAATCACGTAAGAATTTGCTTTAGGAGGTAAAACAAAAGTTGTCATAATAATGCAAATTACAAGCATTGACATCGGTGATTTCCAACAAGGTTCCATTCACACTGATTTCTAGTGTCAACGGATAATAGTCGCTCACTTGAAGCTCTTCCGATGCTCCAAATGAAAAATTAATGGTTTCTACTCCCCCTAACCTCCTTCATAAACCCCCCATGTTGCACCGCTATCCTAGTCCGGCCCTGTAACCCCACCATAGATCCCTTTTTTACCCCCCTCTAAATGTGTGACTATTATTAATGCAATATAATGCATAATAGCCACACATTCGGAGGACGTAATAGGGGGTTTAGGGTGGGGTGCAGGGTCGGACTGAGGTAGGGGTGCAGTGAGAGATTTAAGGAGGAGGTATGGAGGGTAGGAACCATCAATTTAGCGCGAATGGAGCACTGGAGAAGCTTCAAATGAGTGTCATTCGTTGACATTAGAAACCAGTGCCAACGGAACCATGCTGGGTCATTTTGAGTGCAAGAAATATTATGAGACTCGCAAGTGTTAGAGTGTATCCCACATCGGAAAATTGAGAAAAATAATGGGTATATAAACTTTTTAGTTGAACTAAGTAATTCATTAGATCTAATTTTTTAAGATAATTCAGCCCAAGTGTATTATGGCTCTTTTGAGTGACCTCTACCTCAATCTAAAATTTTATGAGCAAGAATAATCAAGTTTTAGAGTTGGAGAAAGAAACTAAGAAATGATTCGTTAACGATGTGAAAATGAATTTCTAAAATACAAGTAGAGTTTTAAAATAGACTAAAATTAGTAGTAGGACAAAATGGAGATGCCAAAAAAAAGTGCCACAGAAGTGTGTTTTGTAAAGGAAATTGTTATTCGATTTTCATAGAAGTGGAAATCGGGATGATTTGTTAGCCTGAAATCTCTAACTACGGCTACTTTTATTTTACTTTTTGTGCATTTTGTTTAAGTGTTCATAACCTATTACATCAGTTTAGTTCATAACCTATTACTGACTTAATTTTTTTCTTTTCTATTAAAGAATTTTTTTTATATACTTTTCTTTTTCTTCATTTTCTTTTCCAATTCTTTTTTTATTTAATTTTGATTAAAATACAATAAATAATATAAAATTAATTTTTAAAAACATCAAAAAAGAGAAAAAACAAAAAAACCAGAAAATGACCGAAAAATGGAAAATGAGCTTTAGTGCAAAAAAGAGAAAATATTTTATTGATTTTTGTATCATAAAAATGAGCCAATAAGGATATTTTATGGATAAAAAAAGAAAATATTTAATTTTAGATGAATGAAGTATATGTAAATTCTTTTATTTCATTGTTTTTTTGAAAGAAAATTCTTTTAAAAGAAATTTTTTTATAATCATTTAAAAACATAATAAAAAATAGTTTTAAAAAGGTGCTTAAAGAGATATTTTTGAAGAAAAAAGAAATACAATAAAGAAAAGAGAGGATATTGATGCCCATTTCTAAAACTATAAGCGTTAGCGGAACTATTCACATATGATTTAAAAGTTATTTTAGTCTAAAAGGATATTGGTGTTAAAATATCACAACCATAAAAAGAAACAACGTGTGTTTTCAAATCATGAGAAGAATAATATACATTTACCAAAACTACAAGAGATACTAGTGAAATAAACTCAAAACTAAATCGACGAAATATTGCATGTTTGGGAATAACGTTAGAGATTATCGTTAGCATTTTGAATAAAATTTTAACAGTGCAGATTATTTTGAAAATGCTAACGCTAAACGCTCCCCATATATAGTTTTATCAAAATGCTAACGCTAATCGCTAAAGCTATTACCAAACAAGCCGAATGTCGAATGTTGCAGTGTTGGAGAAGGGCAAGGGCAAGGACACATGATTTTAAAATTTCTACCTCGCACATATATGAGGTTAAAAATATGAGCAACCAATACGAGGCATCCTAGCATTTTTCTAAAAATATAGTGTGCCGCTTGCCAACCTTTCCTTCAGGTTTATACTTTTACCTCCTCTGGCTCAAATTTATCCCCTCTGTAAGATTTCATCGCCGGATCGGAGATTTTTTTTCTAAAAAAAGAATGGGATCGGGGAAGAGGCTCATAATAATGGAATAATAATAATAATAACAATAGATGGGGAAGCTATGGGACAGAGCCGTCGGGGCTCTGAAGGACCAAAACAGCGCATTGGTTGCGACCCTGTCGAGGAGGACGGCGCTGAGGAACCCGGAGGTGGAGGCGGCGGTGATCCGAGCCACCAGCCACAACGCCGCCGCCTTCGATTACGCGAGCGTCGAGAAAGTGTACGGGTGGATCCGGGCGTCGCCCAACGTCTTTAAGCCTTTGGTCTGGTCGATTTCCCGGCGGATGGAGAAAACGAGGAATTGGGTGGTGGCGCTCAAAGGCTTGATGCTTATGCACGGCGTTTTCTGCTCCAAGATCCCCGCCGTCCGCCGGATTGGCCGCTTGCCCTTCGACCTCTCCAATTTCAGGGACGCCCGTTCCCATTCCGGGAAGATGTGGGCCCACAACGACTTCATCCGCGCTTATTTTGCCTTCCTCGATCACAAATCCGCCCTACTCTTCCTACACCCAAAGGTGATCAATTACTTTCTCCTTCCCTAAAAATAACATTTTTGTTTTGGCTTTTGGGATCCAGAGACTATAGAGACGTTTGACTAATGGTAAATGACGATAATTGATACGAGGAAACTTATTGATATGAGTACATGGCGACAATTGTTACGAATATGCTGTTGACGTTTGACAAAGGATAAAGAACTGGTTAAAAAGGGAAGGAAAACGTATAGTTCAAATATATCGAGTTGAACTAATATATATTCTTCAAAATGATGGTGAGCTCTAATTACATGACTTGCAATCCATGCGTAGGAACAAACATTTACCTTGACGCCAATAATGCAAGCCCTAGAGACGTTGCAAAAGATGCAAGACTTGCTTGATAAGACGCTAAAGATCAAGCCGCATTCCCACGCCACCGTCGTGCCCCTCTTCATTGAAGCCATGGACTGCGTTGTGGTAGAGATTTTCGATCTCCACATCCGCATACGCAGTGGAATTGCCAAAATCCTACCCAAAATCCGATCCGCAGGTAAGGCTGAGGCAGAAGTGGCGCTCAAAGTCACATCTAGACTGAGGACCCAAACCCAAGAGCTCAATGACCACTTCGAGTTGTGCTATGAACTCGGCGTAACCAATGCCTCAAAACCTCCCGCAGAGAATGCAATTACTAAAGATCAAATTCAAGAACTTGAGGACATAGTCAACAGTGATTGTTCCCCAGATAAAATGGTTGTAAAGGAAGAGATGTCATTCGTTCCGGTGACAAAGGAGGGTCATGGCGTGAGGATAGTTATGGATCATTGGGAGATGCTTGACGAAGGCGATTATTTTGCGGGAGAATGCTATCATTTTCATTCACATCCTTCTCTAGCTCTTAGCAATAATATTTTGCAACTTGAACAATGTAAAGAACATCTCCCAGATCTCATAACATTTGATTAGCTAGTGATAATTCGTGTTGAGCTTAACTTGGGCGCGTTTTGATGAAATATTATAACAAGAGAAAAAGAAGGGCATTTGATAAAATATAGTATAAGGTAGACTTGGAAAAGCAGATCTGTAAAAGGAAAGAGAATATTTGGGAGATATTTTCGTATATATTAGTTTTGGTAGTTTCCTTGTATAGTGATTCCCTTTCCTTTGTTAATTAGGATTCTCTACTATATATGTATGCCTTGGTTGTATATTGTAAACATAGAAAAGAATACAAGAGAATTTCTTCTCAAAGAATTATTTCATGGTATCAGAGCCTAAACCCTAGGAATTTTCGCGACTACTGTTCACGATCGCCTGGCATTGCTTCCATCGATTATTGCTTGTTGTTGCTGGCGAGAGACCGGAACGGTCGACCGTCCTTGTAGAACGGTCAAAGGCATCAACCGTCCCGACGACAGTCTCTTCAATTGCTGCTGCTGTTCGATCCAATTCTTGATCTGTGTCAACCGGTATGTCTGAAGAAACACTCATGAAGATTATTTCCATCAAAAAGAATGAGGAACAAGAGGAGGAGGAAGTTGGGATGTGACGTCGTTGTATCTCTCCATATGATCTGTCTCCGAGCGACAATCCGGGTATGATTTTGACCCATGTCGTTCTAAAAGGGGAAAATTATGATGAGTGGTCTAAATCTCTTCATTTGGCACTTCGAGCACGCAAGAAGTTTGGATTTGTTGATGGGACAATTGGGATGCCTGATCCTGATTTAGAAGATTTTGATGATTGGTGGACGAATCATTCGCTGTTGGTCTCTTGGATTCGGAACACGATTGATCCAACCCTGAGATCCAGCATATCGTTCATGGAGAAAGCTTCAGATCTGTGGAGTGATCTGAAGGCCCGCTTCTCTGTGGTTAATGGACCGAGGGTCCAGCAGTTGAAGCGGGACTTAGCGGAATGCAAACAGAAGAATCTTTCCATAATGGAATATTATGGGAAGATGAAGAAGTTGTGGGATGATCTAGCATATTTAGAGCGGTTCCCGATCTGTACGTGTAAGAATTGCACGTGTTATTTGCTGGAGAAGCTTACGTAGATGTGTGAGAGGGAACGCTCCCATCAATTTTTGATGAGTTTGAACGATGCTTTGTATGGAACTTTGCGGTCAAGTTTGTTGGCCCAGGAAATCCTACGACATGTGGCAAGAATATATAATATTCTTTTCCAAGATGAAACGACACGGAATGGCATGCACAAAGGAGAAGGTAGTGAAGCACGTGCTTCCGTGTTTGCCGTAAAGAATAAGATGGAGGTCAAGAAGCTTGTGTGCTCTCACTGTGGGAAAATAGGACATGACATTGAGGCGTGCTACAAGCTGATTGGGTACCCAGAGGGATGGGTGTTCTGTGATCAGGCCGGAAGAGGAAGAGGAAACGGCCGGGAAAGGGGCCATTGGACTGCACGAGGCGGCGGACGGTCGACCGTGGCAGCTGGACGGTCGAATGTTATGGGCGGACGAGGGGAAGTCCATGCTATCCAAGGAGAAGAAAAAGGACCATCTCCGCTTCCAAACATTGAGGATTTAACGCCTGAATAGTGGAATGTTGTTCGTCATGCCCTCTCGCTCTCCCCTATAGACAACTCACCGAAACTCTGAGGTATTCCTGTATTACCTCGTTGGATAATTGATACTGGTGCGTCCAATAATATGACAGGTGATATTTCGTTATTATATGATGTGGTGAGTGTGTCTCCGTGTGAAATTGGATTACCTGATGGAAAAAGGGTTGTGTCTGTTCAATCTAGAAAGCTTGATTTGACTATGACTTTGCAGAATGTATTGTTTGTTCCAACCTTGAATTGCCATTTAATTTCTGTGTCACAGTTGATAAGAGATATGAACTGTGAGGCAAAGTTCACCAATGATTTGTGCATCTTACATGACCTAAGTTTGAGGACAACGATTGGTGTGGGTAGACATGAAGGAGGATTGAACTATTTAAAGTCGGAGAGGAGCATGGCGTGCAGTGCTGCTAAGAAGAATTCGTTTGATCTTTGGCACAAACGTCTATGACATCCTTCTTCGCATGTTTTGTCCTTAGTTCCTGTAGTTGGTTCGAATAAAAGTAGTCATAGTCATTGTGATGTCTGTTTGCATGCTAAACAAACTCGTGCTAGTTTTCCTATCAGTTTTCATCAATCTATGGATAAATTTAATATGGTGCATTGTGATGTGTGGGGTCCTTATCGGACGCCCCTTCACATCGCCGCTAATCCAATCTTTCACGAACGAACAAAGCATATTAAGATAGATTGTCATTTCGTTCGTGATGAGATTTTACAAGGAGAGATTCGTGCCCTTCATGTACCTACTACGCATCAGCTTGCAAATATTCACACGAAGGCACTTGGGAAGTCACAACTGGAGTTTCTTATACCCAAGTTGAGGGGGGTGTAAAAGGAAAGAGAATATTTGGGAGATATTTTTGTATATATTAGTTTTGGTAGTTTCCTTGTATAGCGATTCCTTTTCCTTTGTTAATTAGGATTCTCCACTGTATATGTATGCCTTGGTTGTATATTGTAAACATAGAAAAGAATAAAAGAGAATTTCTAAAACCGAAATCGAAATGATCCGAATAATGAAGATCTAATCTATAAACGAAAACTGAAATGATTTGAGTCGAATTGAAATCGAACTAAATATTTCATATCGGATTTAAATCCGAAATTGATTAGATCCGAAACGGGTCATTTCCAAATTGATTAAATCCGAAATCGATTAGATCCGAAACCGATAATACCCTAAACCAATAAAACATTAAATCGATTAGATCTGAAACCGATAATATCCAAAACTGCTTAGAATTAAAATTGATAAAATCTAAAATAGTGTTTTCCTTTCAATAAGCATACTATATTTTTAAATTTTTACTTTTATTTTACCATATGAACTAATTACATTACTTGCTCATTCCCTCATAATATAGATTACCATCTCTATAAAAAGTTACAAAATCTCCTATCTTAAATTTATTATATTTACGAATAGAAAACTTTTGAAATTTTTAAATAGTGAAGTGTATTATTATTCTTTTTAGGGCAGAAGCATTATATGATTAATTGCATGGAAGAACTAGATTTTATCCAAATTTCATCCAATTACAATAAATTTTATTAGTTTGAGAGTTAATTTGATTAGCTTCAGATGAATTCAATCAATATTACTCAATAACGTTAGAGGTTAGCATTTTCATTTTGAAAAGGCTTTCTAGCGGCAACATTTAGTGTTATCATTTTCAAAGTTAATCTACACCTTTAAATTTACGTGTAAAATTAATTATATTTGACTCTATTGAATTTAATTTTATCTAATTTCAACCAAATACACTCAAATAATTTATAAAATTTGCACTCAATTGTATTAATTTCATTCACTTCTATCAATTTTTAAGAGTAATATTAAATAAAATTTCACTTAATTTTACTCAATTTTTTCCAAATTGTATATGATTGGAGCACAACACTATTTGAATTTATCTTTTTTCTTCCCATTTATAAACATAAAGATATTAGTAGATGTGATAAAAATTTAATGTATCAATTAAATTTTAAAATCAATTTAATTATATTAATTTCATATCGTAATTAAATATATATTTTTTCATAATTTATAGTCCAAATTTGTAAAATATGGCTAAAAAGTAAAAAAAAATGATTTAGAGCATGTTCTTTAAGACTAAAAAAAGAGCTGGATGTTGGAAGAAACATGAAGCAACTGGAAGAAATTAGAAAAACTTCAAAAAAATTGGAAAACCTAAAAAAACTTTTAAAAAAATATTTTAGTGTATTTTTATATTATTCTCATTGTAATTCTTGTTGTAATAAATTATAATTATAATTATAATTATAATTATAATTATAATTATAACTATTATTATTATTATTATTATTATTATCTTCATCATCACGTTATCTTAATTAATTCCTTTAAGATAAAAAAAATATTGTTATTTTTCATACACGAAAAACTACTTTTGAAAAAAAATTAAAAAATTATAATATAAAGTTAGCATAAACATCAAAATATTAAATTTTAAAAAATTATTGTGGTTACGTTGCACCTTAATTTATTTATGCAGTATTTATTATAAAATAATATATTTTTAATTTTACTTTATATATTACAAGTTTTTGTTTTAAATATCAGACATGTCACATAATGTAATTAAACTTATTTTTGTTTCTTGACTAACATTTTATTTTCATTATAACTCCTACATTTTGGAATAAAGACATTGAACTTTTATTTTTGTACAATTGTTCTATGTTTCACTCCTATTTTCGTCTTTTTCTCTAAACTATTATGACTTTCAAATTTTTTTATAAAAATTAGAAAAATGAAAAAAAAAAATTTAGAATAACAAAATGAGAAACAATTGAGTAATAAAGGGAAAGGTGAGGAGTCTTATATAAAACTAGATTAATAAAACATTCTATGTAACTATTTTATCCATAATTTTTTAATATAGTTTAAAATATTGATATTTTCCTATTTTATCATGTAGATGAATATAAAAAAATTGTCTTATTAATATTAAAAGTTGAAGAAAAAATAATAATGAGTGTGAATCGTAAAAAAGTGAGATGAAAAAATAATTTATAAACTATAGTTTTGAACATAATAGTTGTAATAATAATAATAATAATAATAATCACATTGAAAATATATCATTTTTGGATAATTGGTTGTGGAGTAGAAAGACATTGATGAAAATGGGAATAGTTGAAAGAAACACGAAAGAGCCTGAAGAAACTAGAAGAAATTGGAGAAAACTGGATGGAAGTGGAACAAACAAGAAGTTAAGAGTTTAAACTCTAAAGAACAGGATCTTTGTAGAATGAATAATTTCTAATGAATTATTATGGGAGATTACATGTGTATATATACAAAGGTTTCCTAATGACAATAGGAAACAATAATTAATACACCCTATACAAATATGGTAGCTACCAATATACATTAATATTAAATATAGTAATAATATATTTAACATGCTCCCAACGACACTAATGAAGATCGCCTCACACCCAAACAAGCTTGAAACTCGGAGAAGACCATAGAAGGTAGTTCCTTGGTGAAGATGTCTGCATACTGTAGGGAAGAAGGTACATGAAGGACTCGTATCTGACCAAGGGCTACTCTGTCACGCACAAAGTGAATGTCAACCTCAATATGCTTCGTGCGCTGATGTTTGACAGGATTTGCAGAGAGGTAGATAGCACTGATGTTATCACAGAAGACCAGTGTAGAGCGTGTCAGAGGTTTCTGGAGTTCTAGAAGAAGATTGCATACCCAACTGACCTCAGCGGCGGCATTGGCAACAGCTCGATATTCTGCTCCAGCACTGGACCGAGAGGTGGTGAGTTGTCGCTTAGAGGACCAAGAGATGAGATTGCCGCCAAGAAAAATGCAGTAACCGGATGTCAACCGACGAGTATCTGGACAGCCAGCCCAATCAGCATCTGAATATGCCGCATATGATCCATCTGAGAAGGTGATATGGTAATGCCATGGGTGGGTGTGCTCTGTAGGTAGCGCAAAACGCGCTTCATGGATGTAACATGAGGCACACGATGATCATGAAAAAAGAGACATAGCTGCTGGATGGCATAGGTAATATCCGGACGGGTGAAAGTGAGGTACTGCAGTGTTCCCACAATAGAGCGATATAGAGAGGGATCTAGGGCTGGAGGACCGACAGTGGCCGAAAGTTTCCCACAGGTGTCCACGGGTGTAGAAACTGGTTTGCACAAGGTCATGTCGGCCCGTTCAAGGATGTCATGGATGAACTGAGTCTGAGTGAGGAACAAGCCGTGAGAGGTCCGCTGGACATTGATCCCAAGAAAGAAGTGAAAGTCACCCATATCAGTAATAGCAAACTCCCCTTTTAGCCGTCCTGTGAGCTGCTGAAGGAGGGCAGTGGATGAAGCTGTGAGGATAATATCATCAACATAAAGCAGAAGTAGAGCCATGTTCTGGCCGCGACTGTAGACAAACAAGGAGGTGTCGCACTTACATCCACTAAAACCAAGAGAAAGGACGAAGCCTGCGAATCGCTGGTACCAAGACCTGGGTGCCTGTTTGAGTCCATAGAGTGCCTTATTTTATTTGCAGACATAATGTGGGCGAGCAGGGTCCTGAAATCCTGAAGGCTGAGCAGTATAAACAGTGTCAGGGAGGTACCCTTGCAAAAAGGCATTCTTGACATCAAACTGGTGAATCGGCCATCCTCTAGACACAGCAATGCTCAAGACGATGCGTATAGTGGCAGGTTTGACAACCGGGCTAAAGTTCTCGTCGTAGTTAATCTCATGGCGTTGAGTGAATCCGCGGACGACCTATCGAGCTTTGTACCTGGACAGTTCACCTGTAGGGCCACGTTTGTGGCGAAAGAGCCATTTCCCGGAGATATTGTTTTGGTCAGGGGAGGGGGTACTAAATCCCATGTATGATTATCTATCAATGCATTATATTCATCTAGCATAGCATTGTACCAGTTAGGATCTTTAAGAGCACTATGGTAGGTAGGGGGTATGGGGGAGATTGTGGCCATATTGTTAAGGTTTAGGATTTGTTTGGGACAGAAGATTCCAACCTTGGCTCTGGTGACCATAGGGTGGGTGGGGGCTGGCGGGTTGGGGACAAGTTCGGTGGTGGGTGTGGATTCGGGTGGAGTGGTGGGGGTTGTTGGAACACACTTTGTACAATAAACTAAAGTCGTGTTCATTTCTGACAGGTTTTGAGAATTGCCAAACCGCCGTGGATATGAAGAGTTTCGTTGAATAACTCAATGCGTGAAGAATGGCTTGGAACAAGACCAAAAAGACTCAAGGACAAGATCAAGAATTGAAGACTTAGTCGAGTCGATCTTTTGTGATCAAAACCGACAACAAATTCAAGTCTCGGTTCTCAAAGAGTCAAAACAATTTTTACAAATCATAAAATATTTTTTGTGCATCAAAATAAATATTTTTGATGATCTTTTATTGTTAAAATCCCTGGTCCTTGCTCGGAACCTAAACCACCTAGGTCGGCGTTCGGCTTTCGACATTCGGTTTTTGGCGCCCAAACCAACTCCGTGGTTTTCATCATTTTAAACCCTGTTTTTACCTTTGAGCATTTTTAAAATGTTCCCAAATAATTATTTTATAAAAACCACTTTTGTATCTTGGTCAATCGGTCTAACACGTGAAAAACGGTCAAAATCGTACGCATGTGATGTACGACCTTGGAGACTTGGTTTTTACCGAACAAGTCTTGTTTTCACTATTTTATACCATATACAATGTTTTTCAAACCTGGTTTTTACTTTTGGGAACACTTTGTTTTTGGACCTCGGTTTTTCAAAACGGGTTTCAGCTGGCTAGACTTTAGCTAGGTGATAATCGATTATCACTTTGGTGAAAATAGATTATCTGCCTCTGCAGCTTTGAACTCCAAAGTTCTAAAGCAGACAATAGTCGATTATCACATTTGCAATAATCGATTATCAGTCTGTGCAGCCAAAACCCAGAATCTTCTGAGAGGACTAATAGTTGATTATCACTTGTTGACAATCGATTATCTGGGTTACCGTTGTCCTCCAACGGATAGAATTTTAAATTTTTGGACAGGGAATCTTTGGATAATCGATTATCAAGCTTTGACAATCGACTATCACCCTGTGTCTCTGAAAAATTTGTCTTCATCCTGTTGGAAACTCTAGCAACGGGTTTATCCCATTTTAAACTATAAAATGGCACCCAAATCCTCTCATTTTACACACAATTCTTCAACACTTCAATACTCTTTCATTGCATAAGCATTCCTATCTTTTCTTAGCTATTTGAGAGCCAATTCTTGAAGAAATTGTCGTGTTCTTGAGGCTCGTGCGACCCGAGTTCTCAAGTTGTATCGGTTTGTTAAGCACCCTTAAGCCTAACAGAGTTAGTGTAGCTCGAGAGAGTCTCTCAGGAGGCTGGATTAGTCACATGTTGTGGTGAACCAGGATAAAATTCGGTGTGCTTCTTCCTTACGCTCTTTAACGCTCTCATTTTTAATTTCCTGCGATTTTGTTTCGAACGCTATTCACCTCCCCTCTAGCGTTGGGCCTTTATTCTAACAGAGGTAGGTGTGGGGGAGGTAGACAGGGTAGACGGGGTGGGAGAGGTG